CATAATTAAAAGTTGAGTTAACCTCTGACATCGAACCTTATATAATTGATTTGAAATAGTGTTGAAGTATAAATATGAACTATCATAGTTTTAGTAAAATAATTTTGAGACTACAAAGTTTGTAGTAAAAACTTAAAAAAGAATTTTTCATGGAAATTCAAAACTAATTCTCACACTCGATTGGTGGTAATTTGTCATGGATCTTTGACTTTTGTTCTCGTCATGATCTGGACACATTCAGAGAAAGTGCTTTGTTTAATTGTTTGTTGTAAAGAATAAATTTTAAACAATAGAAAAAGAATTGTTGTATTGGAGCCAGACAATCCTAAGCCGATCTCTTGGTGCGAAAACTTTTAAGATTTTATCTACAAATGAAGGAGAATGTCCAATTTATATCTTACAAGAATGACCATAAATTCCCTCAAAAGTTGTTCCCATCTCGTTTCATCTAATGTGATTCGCTATGAAGTAATGTGGTTACATAAAATTACTACACTTCTATTCTCGCGCTTTACTACAACCAACGACAACAATTTCATTTTTCATTTTCAGAGTACAAGACTCAAGTTCATGGCCACTCTAAAGCCGGCATGTATTTGTCATGGTTTGGTAGACTTCACGCTCACATAATGTTTTACTTACGAATCTATTTTGGTTCTATCTTTATTCTATTTTTCCATTCCTTTTAATTCGCGATTTTTAACTATTTTTTATTTTTCAACCTCAGTTCCAATCAGAACGACCACGTGAATGCTTTGAATCTTGTTTTGAATTTTTTATTTATTTTTGTATGGTTGGATTTATGTATATAAATGAAGAAGAAAAGAAGTTGTTGAGCATGACACAAGACGTTTTCTTTTTATCCGCTCGTCTTTACTCATATGAAAAATATTGTTCCCTATGCTCTTTAAATTTGTTTTGGTTTTGATTATTATGTGTTTATTTCTTTCATGAGACAAAAATTCAGTCAATGTATCATTTTTCATCCCTTTCATTGCTATTCGAGTTACAGAAATGGAAAAAAAGAGAAATCTTGCGCAAAGTAATTTTTTTCTCTTATTTCGCGCGCGATGATAAACCGGCCGGCTATTAGCTTTAATCTTTGTTTATGTTGATAAGTTTAGTTTGTCTCATGCTTATTTATTGACCATGATAACGAAACTCTTCCGCTATATTAAATATTCCGCGCATAATTTTATGTTTCTACAAGTAAACACGAATCAGTAAATGGTTTATAGTGTCTTATTACACAAGAAGCACGTGCAGTTTGTGAGTAAATAAGATTGCGTAATCGATTGGTAAAAATTCTCAACTCCTCGCTCAGTTCTCAATTTTAATTTTAATTTTTAGGTCAATGAGAAGCGAATATATTTTTTATTTATAATTAAAATGAGAAGCCGCGAAATAAGACTAACAACATAGCAAGGCAAATTTAAAAATAATATTTTACAGGCGATAAGAAATGTTTATATCAAAAGAAGACTTTATGTGCGATGTAAATAAAATAGTAATTAACTAAATATTTAATATATCTATGCAAACTAAGAATTATCTTTTACATCAACATGAATATGAGAAGAAAATTTATTCTAATGCATTCATATATAAGAAAACAAATTCATTTATGCAAAATATTTATAAAACCTCTGGAAATATATTTTGTAAGCCCTGATAGGGAATAAAAACAATCGCATTGCCGGTTATGTATGTGTTAGTGAGAGAAGATGGAACCTCCATCTTGAAATTTTTTTTCATTTATGAAGAACATTTGGCGCTCGAAAATATTAAATTCATTTTTGATGACTTACCGCATGTTTATTAAGGAAAACGTCACGAAGACCACCAGCTTCCTCGAACTCAAACATTTTTTAATGTTATCAATCGCTTGCAAGGGTAAAAATTTAATATTTTTTTAATTTTTTATTGATTTTCTCAATGATAATTCAAGTTGTTATCAGTTTTATGTTTTGAATGTTATTAATAGGTAATTTCACATTAAATCACTCGTTTTACACAAATATTTCCTTTAATATTTTTTCACTTATTTTTTGGTGAGTTCACATTGAGATGAAATATAAAATTGATCCACGAACGTGAAAGGTCCAACACCAAATGAAGAATGTTTTCTTTGTTTCGTTTGTTCATGGGATAGGTAATAGAAGTACTAGAGCTAGAAATTAATCTAGGCTACACGTCTAGTCTAAATATTTAAATTCCAAAAGATCGTTAAAATTTTGTTATGTATTTAACAAAATCAAAAATCTATGAAAATATATCTTGTTAATTCTGATTATTAATTTCCTTGTATGGCTTGAATGCATGCCAGTTTCTTTAACATTTCTCATTTAAAAATGAACGTTTGCATTGACAGAAAAATTTTACTTTGTCTTTCTTATTTCTTCATATTTTTTAAATTAAACTGAACGTAGGATTGATGAATACAAAATTAAGAAACATGATTTGACTTACATTAAATTTCATAATAAAATATATGTATGTCATTCATACATCATTATCTAATCAAACCTATATATGTATTAATTTTAATTATGATTTGATCTGTTAGTGATTTTTAAGAAAAGATCAATGGGATATAAAAAATTCTTATTGATTTTGCTAATCTGTGATCCTTTGGTCAGAATTTCTATTATAGAATATTCTATTTGACAGGTAAATTAAATTTAATGTCTATTTTAGAAAATGAAATTAATCAAACTTTTCGACGAAACCTTGATTCCTTTTAAAGCACTTGACTTCATTTTGAATTTAAAGTAAAGTTTTCCTGTCAAGTTGCTCATCGTTAACACATGAAAATATGTTTAAGTATTGAGCTGCGAATTCGCTTGCTCTTGTGTTCTAATATTAATATGTAGTTGCATCAAGGTTCTAATATACGTCAGATTGCTTGATATAACGTAGGAGAATCATTTTAATCAGGAATATTTTTGTGGAGCTTTTGAGTTTAAGAGCTTGCCTCATGAAAATTAATTAGTATTAGGTATGTAGGTGTTTTTATGTCTTAAAAAGATAACTTGTTCTAATAAGTGTAATAAGTTGAATATTTTCCATTTAAGTACACTAGAAAGCTTCTAAAAGAATAAAAGATATATTTCAGCATGTTTCAAGCACAAATCGCCAATGATAATCATAAAAATAGAAATTCCGTTGCACTTAGATTAAATTTAAATAAAGGTGGAAAAATATCATACTTAATTAGGGTAACATAATTAGCATAATTAACTGAATACTAAAATTTATTGAAACACAAAAGAAAAAAGAAATAATGTAATTAAATAATTATCGATTTCATTTAAAAAATGGATTAGATAAATACTCTTTAAAATTTAAAAGAAATTGAGATTAATAAAATAAATAAACGCCTACTTACTGTTTTGATATATATAAAATTAATTACTACTAATACAAATAAGATTAGATCCATATCAGTTTCTAGTCCGTTTCTTTATATATATTAATTGTTGATAAATGAGTTATTAATTGACATCCAAACCGATCACATCTTTCTTCCTCTCACAGACATAACACCTACCTACTTTATGAAAAACAAGAATAACCTTTAAGAAAAAAAATTAAATTTCTAAATTTCAACTTCTGTTTCAACATCACAAACCTAAATGTGTTGTACTTGAAATATGAATCATAATTTAGAAATATTTTTACATAAAAGGCTCATATTCAGATGGCAAAGCAGACTTAAATAGCATAAAAATTCGGAACATTTTATTGCTGCTGCCTTTTCATCCCATTGAATGATGCTCATGGTTTGAATGAAGCATCACTGGGCAACTTTTATGATTGACAAACATTATTTAAAAATGTAGCATCATGTGATATCATTAAAATTCGTAAGTTATCGTGTTTGAAATTGGCCACGACTGAGTCATAACGAGTGCTGTGAAATTTTTTATTGATAATTAAATTGATGATGTATCAAAGCCTACGTTCCTTCAACCAATTAAAGCTTCTGATGCCAGCTTTACTTTAAACAGTATCGAAATCGTAAATTCTAAAAGGCATTTAATGTTTTAGAAGCATATCAAAATCACACTTCTAAATATATTCTAAAGTGTAAAACATTTCCAGTCACAAATTTTTACTCGACATAAAACAGCTTTAGAAGTATCGATTCCTATGCATACAGCTTATTTACGTTATATCTCGAATATTGGTTTCTATAGAAATAATCGTTTCGACCGATAAATGTTTTTGTTACATATTAAGTTCTACTGCAACAATTGGGAAGCTGTTCAATTGATGTTAACAAATTGTATGCTTTGGTTCCACAATAAATTCATTTATTTCCTATGAAAAATGTTGTGAATCAGCTTTAAGAATCCGTAATTACGTGTATGAATTAATGGTCTATAAATCATAGAATGAATTAGAAATTTTATTACTTATTATGTGCTTTTAAACATTATGAAAGTAAATTTCCATTTTGTTCTTTTAAAATGTAAGCTTCAAATCGTTGATGAGATAAAACTCCTTGTTACAAAACCATAAAGTGATTTCCAATTTTATAATATAAAAACTTTATTTAAAAACATAAATTTTAAAGTTTCAAGCCACTGAATTAAGGAACTTGGTCTTAAGATTATGCAATGCACTAAACGAAACAAATCTCCGAAGAAAGTTTACAGTTTTATAGAAACCAAACCACGATTGATTAAGTGGGTTTGAAAATAAAGAAACTATGTTAAGATAAAAGTTTGTGCTATTGGTGATGGAGCAGAATTTCCAGGCTATTAAATCTCCAAGTAAATTCTTTCTTTCTCATTCTATGAAACTGCAGAATCATCGACGAATGTTCATTTTTCAATTTTTTTGTTGTGGAAGCTTCTTTCGATGGCCAGAAAAGGCGCTTCAAATGTTAGAAAAGCTAAAACTGCAACACAAAACGATAATCCTAAATCACCTAAAAAATGATGAGTTTTCAGGAACTCATTGAAGTATCCTGGTTGCTTTTGAGTTCCAAAAACAGCTATTAATGCAGAATTGTGAGTTAAATAAAGGCTGAGACCAATTCTTGCAATTGGCTTCCAAATCGAAAGCGATAAAAAGCTGTTCACAAAGCCACCATTACCCAAATGACAAGCGAAAATAATCCATGCGATTGAGAGTGACCATCCAAGCTGACCTCCAGCATAATAGAATGAATTGAGAAACTTTGTTGTTCCATTATCCTTAGCATGAAATGCGAAATTTCCGATGATGATACAAAATATTGTGCTAATTGATGAGAACCACAAGATGGTGTTTAAGTGGCTTGAAATTTTTATGACTGCCTCACGGTTTATGTGTAATATATAAGCTGTCATTACACCACAAATATATGGACATACCCGTGAAAAAAAGCATTCATAAATGTAGGCATTATACAGACTGTTAACTGTGTTGCTTGGAAATGAAAAGACACGTTAATAAATGGAAATCACTTTCAAAATGACTTACTCACCTGTTGTTACGAAAAAATACATTAACTTCATGATAATAGGTGAAAATAAAGATAAAGATCAAGGAAGCAAGTGTCAGGAACGGCAATGACATCAACACTTTTCTTCCATATTTCCACAAAGGATAAACGATAAATGGCGAGAGAAGAAATAATTGAAAATCTGAAAGGTAAATCAAAAACTTAAATTGGAAATTTGAATAAATGAATGAAAATTACCAGGAGATAAATACCAAGTATGACTTAAACATAAATTGTTCGGGTTCACAAAGTTCTGAATGTGTAAAAGTGCAGCGTACCAATAATCATTACAACCACTCAATGATTGATCAATTAGAGATTTGTTCATTGGGCCATCGCCAAAATATCTTTGAAGTGACATGAAACAAAAAATTGTTGCAGCAAGCACAGGTGTGATTCTCAAATAACGATGAATGTAGAGATGACTTGGACTTAATCTTCCCCTAAATAAATTGTGATGAGATTATCAGATTAAGAATTCATTTCATTTACACTTTTTTCTTCTTTTCTTTTCACTCACTTAGCATCCAATTTTCTGAGAATAGTTTTTGTTGAAAGCAAACCACTCAGAACAAAAAATGTATCTATGGCCATCTTAGTTGATGTTGATAAAGCCGATGTCCAATTTTTTATCCATTCCTGTTGATAATAAACTTTATTATAACTTTTAATGAAACTTTTCTGTTTTGTTTGCAAACCTCTCGATATTGCACACTATTGATGATAGGAAAATTCGAATATATTTGCATTCGATGTCCGTGAATTATCCAAAGTATTGATAAAGCACGAATTCCATAAAGACTTGATATGACGTCACTTGTAGCAGGTTCATTGATAGCAAATAACTTTTTACCATTTGTGTAAACAGAGAAGGCTGAGAATATTGCTTTTCGTTTGCCTGTAAATTTAATCAAGCATAATGAAGTAATTCAGTTTCTGATTACGAAAACACAAACTTACGATTCTGTCTAAGCATTGTCAAGTCATATGCTGTGCTTAGAATAAGCAAAAGTAACATGAAAATGAAAAACAAACTAAAGAAGAAAATGAAAAGTTAAATTAAAGTCGTGTTGATTAATTTGAAATTCTTTACACTGCAAACATGTCGATTTGTCTCATTTCAAGAATGTTTATAGTGTTGCAATAAAGTCCCTGTTTGTAATCTGTCGTCGTCTTCAAATTGCCGTTTGCAAGAATGCTATCTGCAATTCTTCTCACCATTTTAGTAGAACAAAATGAAGGAATGCAGATTGCTGTACCAACTTTGGACTTTGAAACGTTCATGTAGCGACTTAAGATGTCAATTTCGAAAATATGGTTGAGAATTGTGTCTCGTTCATTTGATGCAAAGCTTTCAACAATGTCACTTATTTTAAAGAAGACTAAACAATGTTGACCCTGAAATATTCCACTTTCGTCACTGTCAAAATCTTGTTTCATTTGTATGCATTGTTCGTAATGTCCAAAGTTTAATAAATTCCCGGAAAACAGTCCAGCTTGTGATCTTCCCCATGAGTCAAACACTTTCAATGCCCAAATCTCTTTTCTTTGAAAACCATCCACCAAAAGCAGCATTTGTTTCTCACACATTTCATCGTCTTTCCTATTTTTGGTAAAATCTTCTTGAGGGCGATAATTAATCTCCAAGTCATTTTGTGGCTTTGCTTCATACTTTTCATTGCACAAAACTAACACGATTATTAAACAGAAGCTCTTTAACTGACAATCCATCATAAAATATCATGAAAATGGCTTATTGAGTTCCTTTTATACGAAATTTGTTCTTTGAAGTTTGAACTGCAGTTTTTCTCATACCCATACAAATATCCAATGTAATCTGAAGTATCGTCGGCATCAAAGCATTTTTATTTTCATTATTTGTTTATTTATCATGATAAGTTCTAATTAGAACAATGGTTTTATTCACGACGTTAGTGCTGCGGCCGAAATAAAACTGACACATTCTCGTTTTGGTTATGCAGATCCTGATGGTGATGACATTGAGGCAGAGTAATATTAGAATAATGAAACAAATATTATGATCGATTTTCAAGCTTTTAAATCACCAATTCATCTTCATTAGATATGTCAATTAATAATTAGATGATTGTTATTAAATCAAATAAGATATTTATGTTTTCTTTCAAAAGCTTTTCTATGAGTCTTTCGAAAAAAAAAGAAAAAAAATCAATAAATTTAATCTTTGACTTTTTCTCATTTGTGTGAAGTTCTTTCGAAGTAAAAATTATATGCGAATCATTTATGTATAAATTTTGAGAGTTTTATGTCATAAAAGTTGTCTACTTTGATGAGTGCAAAACAGTTTCATTAAAATTTAGAAGTGATTAGCTCGGTCGATTGACTGGCATTTTGCTAATTTTTTGTCAGTTTCAAGTTCAGTTTAAAAATGTTTTTAATATATTTTTGGGCTCTTTTATTAATTTTCTTGATAATTCTTCTGATAATCAAGAACATATACAGAAAGTTTACAATTCGAGAGATTATTGGTCCAATACCGAAATTTCCATTTGGAAATACAAGAAAATCGGCTTTAGGAGAACAAAATTTGATTTATGACGTTGACGATATTTATTGGTATGAATTATTGAGAATTTTGATGTTTAAATTTATTTAATCCATAAATGTTCTTCAATCAATTTAGTCAGTTCAAGGAGAAATCTCTCGTTTGTGGATTTTTTGTGTTTCTTCGACCATATTTGCTAGCAACAAATTCAGAAGTCATTAAAGAAATTATCGTGAAAGAATTTAAAAAATTTCGCAACAATGACTTCGCTGTAAGTTGACCTTGTTCTGTCACAGGAACGATCATAAGATTAAAAATGTTTTTTTTTCATGTTTCAAGGTTAATCTCAATAAAGATCCGCTTATCGGCCGCAGCCCTTTCAGACTCAAAAACGAGACTTGGAAGTTGAAGCGAAGTGAAATCATTCCAACAATGACTCAGATTAAACTAAAATCAATTTATCCGCTGATTAGAAATGGAACCAAGAATCTCGTTGACTACATAAACCGTGAAATTATAAATGACGAGTGTAAAGTTTTTGATGCAAGGAATGTCAGCACTCGTTACACTTGTGATACAATTACAAGCTCAATATTTGGTATCGATGCTCAATCTTTCGAAGCTGATGATCCATTTTATTTTAAAATGGGAGAAGGATTGGTTAATGGAGTAGTAAATTCAGTGAAAAGTTGGTTACCTTTCAAAAGATTACCTCATGATGTTGAAAGTTTCTTTTATGATATCACAATGACAGCAATAAAATTTCGACAAGAAAATCAAATTGAGCGTGAAGATTTTTTATCACATTTGATTTCATTGAAAAACAAAATTAATATGAGTGATGTCGACATTGTTGGTCATTGTGTTACACTCTTTCTTGATGGATTTGAGACAACCAGCTTAGTTATCCACCATGCTTTGTATGAGCTGGGAAGGCACAAAGAAGCTCAACAAAAGCTTCGTGAAGAAATTTACAGCAATGACAAAGAATTGTCTTATGAAAAACTATTGGAACTTCCATATCTTGATCAAGTTTTTAATGAAACTTTACGTCTTCACCCTCCCATTCCATTCACTACAAGGGTTTGTTCAGAAGATCATGAATTCATTGATGGAAAAGATAAGAAAGTTAAAATAATTAAAGACGATGTCATTTGGATTCCAATTCATTCAATTCATCGCGACTCTGGTAGCTTAAATATTTGGCTTATAATTATGATATTGGATAAAGTTTCAATGTATTCATATTTCAGATTATTATACTTCAGCAGAAAGCTTCATCCCTGAAAGATTTAATCTTGAAAACGGAGGAGTTAAATTGTTCAAAGAACGATGCGTTTTAATTCCATTCGGTGATGGGCCACGACAATGTAAGCGTTGAATTTATTTTTAATAAAATTACTTACATATTTTCATCAGGTCTTGGAATGAAGTTTGCTTACATCCAAGTGAAAGCAGCAATTGCTGAAATTGTAAGAAATTTCGAAGTTACTGTTGACAAATCTACTCCGGCGAATCCTAAGATTGGACCAAAAGAATATTTGAATGTTACTGACCATAAGTTAATGTTGAACTTTAAGAGAATTTAGATTTGTTGAATCCCTGAAAATATTAAAGACAAAAGATTTTCTTTTTTTTTTTGGTTAATTTTCCTTGGATTTTTCCCTTTATTTTTCATTTTTTGTATTCAATAAATTTTCATTTGCTGACTTTTTTGCCATTTTCTTCGACTTGTATTTTTTACAGTTACAGTAATTAAGGGTTTATAATTAGTTCATAATAATTAATGTTTTCACTTATTTTTGTATGCATTTCATGTCGTAATAATTTAACATTCACTAAAATTTATTTCATGACTTGCATGATTGTTTTGAGGAATAAAGAAAATTGTCATAATTATTTGAATTTTATTTGGGGAAATTATAAAAACATTTTAATGATAACCCTGGTGAAATCAAATCTATTGCTTCATCGGTGGTAACTTCATTCAAATTAAATACTAAAGATCGATTCCAAAGTGATAAACTTATAATAAGTAAAATGATTTTGAGAAGAAATTTTTTTTTTTTTTCGGTTTATAATTTGAAGCAACAATTTCCATGTTTAGTTAGATTAAAGAAAGCTGTTAAACTTTTAATCATTTTTCCAACTTTAAATTTGTTTGAGTTTATGATTTGATGCAAAGTAGAAAAAGCTTCGAGATATTTTGTTAATAATTTTGCATCGTCTGATAGATCATATTTAACGGTAATTATGCGGGAAACCTTTGATGGAAAAGCACGAAATTTACAAATAGTTTTACTAGGTAGGTAAGGTAAGGTGAACAGGGGCGTTAGAAATTGCATTGATCTATAAGTTTTGATTATATCAAATATCAATAATTTTCAAATAATATTTAATGGACATTGAGGAAAGTTTTACACTCAAAAGTTGATTATTTAGGAAATAATTTTTCCAAATTTTGTTTTCTTACTTTTTCGAGCATTTTACAGCTGAAACATGAAAAGTTGTTATCAAAATTTTTAACATCTTGAGGCATTTTTTTTCTTTGTAGGAAGCAAAAGCTTTAACTGTTGCAATATGAAAGGAAATACTTTGAGAAAATTGAAATCGAGGATAAACTTAATTAATATCACTTGTTAACTTTTTGCTAAAAGCTGTTTATTGGTTTTAATGAGTGTAGAATTTCATGTATGAAGCAAAATAACATAAAAATGAATTTCATAAACTATGCATTGAGAAATGAATAAATATAATCAACAAAAATTGGAAGAAATTATGTCGCGGTGAAAATGATTCAATAAAATAAAATTACGTAGGTGCACATACGGCAATGCTTTTAATTCTCGTATTTTTGATTCTTTTCTTTTTCGGATGGAAAAACTGAAGGGTTTTCTTTCTATTACATATCTGTAAGTGTTTCATTTTGCGATTTAACGATACACAATTATATATGATGCTATACACATTTTCAATATATAATCTATTATGGGTAAGGGCGAAAAGTACAAACATGCTGCTATATGATATGAATTAGCCCTATCATAGAACTTTGTTCAAACAAACATCTGCTGCTCTCAGTAAGTTCCATCATATATTTAAGTGGAAAGAAAAGTTCACAAATTCATCAATTCTCTATCAACGAAAAATCTTAAAGTTGCTCTACATGAAAAATATTTTCCTGATATTGCAACATGAGTTGTTGTTTTCATGCTTTTGATAAAGAATTCAACACTGATAAATGAAGAATTTCCATCTTTCACAGAGCTTTTCATCATCCAAAAAGAACGTAATTTGTTTGTGAAAATTATTTGATAGCGCTTAGGAGGAGAGTACATTAAATTATGCGATTTTTTACACTTATCTATAACATAATTTTTTATATCTCATACTTATCAATTTGTCCCATTAATAGCTTTTCAAAAATTTTAAGTAGTTTTGTTTTATGAGTGACGCCATCACGTTTCGTGACAGCTTTTTGATAGAATTCTACCTTCAGTTTCATTTATAATATCTTTAAAGCTATGATCTAAAATATTTAACTTGCCTTAAGTAAATTTACAAAATTAATGTGATAATTGAATTAGCGGTGTTTTCTTAATTTAACATCCACTTTTGCCAAGTATGCCACAACTTAGAAAATACTTTTTAGATAATAAATTTAAGAATTTTGATATATCATTCGAAAAAATGTTTTCCTTTTCTTTGCCTAAGTTTTATAATAATTTTGTCTTCATATCTTTAATCTATATGTATCAGATTTCTATAATAAATAATTTGAATAATAAAAATTCTACAAAATCTTTCTCACGCATACTTATTACAATCGAAGAACTGAATCGTGTAACAAATTACATTTATTCGCTTTAAAAACTAATTTTTGAAAGTGTTTCACGTTGCTTAATGTAATGAAAAATAATTACAAAAGACGAGAAAATGTTTCAATTAACATAAATACAAATTGTTAATGAAAGTTCATTGATTTTCTCATCTCTGAATAATAAAATGAGTGGGTGGTGACTAGAATTTATTAAGCGATCTAAAAAGATCAAATTAGATTAAAAAATGAATAAATTGTTTTATCTGAATTCCAATTTTTACTTTCTAAACTAATTAATGTCAAACATGTTCAAATAATTTTGTTAAGTGACGGTTTGTATGCTTTCATAAGTTTTCATATAAATATCTAACTTTTTCCTTGCGAAAAAAAGTAAATTTTGATATTTAATGCAGAATTTTTCTCGAAGTAAAAAAAAGAAATTTTTAAACTTTTCAGAAAATTCAGCTCTTTGATTAAAAAAATTTTAGAATGAAAAACAAACTAAGGAAGCTTTTAATTTTAACTTTTGAATAGTTATGTATGTTATTATTATTTTCTTTACAGATCACTGCAAATATCCGAGTATTCAGTTAATTTCCTGTTTAATAAAATGTCATCTTGTTGCTTTAGCTTTTATTTTCTTTATGCTTTTGTTGATTGAGAAAACACAATTTTTTAATGCTTTTTTTTCAGTGAATTTCTTATGATTTCTTTCTTGATTTTGTTCAGAAAATGATGAATGAAAAGAGTGGATGATTATTTATTGATAGAACATTAACTAATGGTTAATCATGCGTGCGTGTATTTGATGTATACGGATGTTAAGTAATACTTACAGTTTTGTTTAACGATCAGACATAAAACAACTTTTTCTCTTAATCAGATAAGATTTAAGGAGAAACTGACTACGACTTCGCATTGGTTTATCAAAATAAGTTACACAACAATTAGTTAATGTGACTACGAATGAAGAGTTTTTCTAAGTTCATCATCTTATGTTTTAAAAGTGTTTTAAGTTCATTAAGCGTAAGATTCACTGACTGACATCGACATTTTGCTTGCTCGCATCATTGCCGGCTTTCAATGGCTTGTGGACCGGCGTTATCATGGGTGTTGAGTTTGCTGATGCCAAAGCTAAGCTTCGGTATTGTTGTTGGAAGGAAATTAGAATTGATCGGATATTGGCAATGATCTCTTGCACTCAAGCATTTGACTCCTGGAAAAACATAAAAGTCACATTGAAATTCTCATCTTGCGTCACCAAACTCTTGCGCATTTCTTATAAATTATCTACAAGCATCTTAATGTTTATGTTTATTTACCTTAAGATTATCAAAATAATTCATTATTTGATCATAATCCATCTCGAGATCGTCGATGCCGAGACTTTCACCAGGTGCTGTCAATTCACTGTCTTGACTTGAAAACATTGGATTTCCCACTACAGTAGCGCGCTTAACACGATGATTGGGTTTTTCGCTACCTTCTGGTGTCACAAACCCACCATTATCGTCAGAACTTGACGATTCATTTTCTGATGATTTTGCAGGCTCATCTGCCTCTGATTTCTTTGTTAGTTCTTCATTAGTAGTTTCTTTGGTCGCATTTTCTTCAGCTGCTGATACTTCAATGCCTGAGTCAAGCATCACTGACGACAACGGCGCATCATCGTAGTCTGTTGTGTTACTATTTGGTGTGGATTTTGTTAGATTTTTCTTTGGTGTGATTGTATCAAACTGAAAAGCGCTACGTTGTTGTCCAACAGCTGACTCTACAAGTATTTCAGCCATATGCAAATCCTGATTTTGATAATGTTTACTCGTACTTGGAATTGGTTGAACAGTATATGAAGGAGAATTCGAATTGAAAAGAGCTGCATTTATTTGTTTTTGAGTGAAATTCAAGCTGTGACCAGGATTTGAGTGAATTGACGTGCGATCGTCCGCTGCATAATGAACCTGAATATCCTGAGGTAAAATGTTACTTCCATTTGAACGTCGATTTTGCACATTACTTCCACTTCTCATATGTTGACGATGACGACGAGGAATTTCGGGTATTTGCTAATGAAAAAAGAAAAATTATTTAATATAAATTCACATTTGTACGAAATGCTTCATTGAAATTTAAAATAAAAATTTCCCGCAATATTTTTGAAAATGAATAAAACATTTGTATGGTTTTAAATACATTTGGCTAATGCGCTGTCGCTGGAGGTCGGCCATTTTGTCAAAATCACTGAAGAAATCTTTCTTTTCGTTTTGTACACTCCGCAAACATGGGTCGTATGCACGCTCCCGGGTAAATTTAACAAGTTATTTCGAGCAGAAACATTTTAAATTTATGTGCATAATGTAGATAACATATCAGTGTACATTTTTAATGTAAAAAGTTAAAGTGAAAAGTGTTATTTCATTATGAAATTACAAAAAATAATTTTTCTGCTCATAAAAAAACGTGTTCCGACATTTTTGTGTTCATACAAAATATTTTTTCTCTTTTTCTATTTAGAAAGGGTATTTCCCAATCCGCTCTTCCTTACCGCCGTTCAGTGCCATCATGGCTTAAATTAAATGCTGATGATGTTAAAGAACAAATCAAGAAATTGGGGAAAAAAGGAATGACACCATCACAGATCGGTAAGTTAAATAATAGTAAAAAAAAATTCTTCTGGATCTTAATTCTCTTTCTGTATTTTTAGGTATTATTCTTCGTGACTCTCACGGAGTTGCACAAGTTCGTTTTGTAAACGGAAATAAAGTTCTCCGCATCATGAAAGCAGTTGGATTGAAACCAGACATCCCAGAGGATCTTTATTTCCTCATTAAACGCGCAGTGAGCATTCGCAAACATTTGGAACGTAATCGTAAGGATATTGACAGCAAATTCCGTTTGATTTTGGTTGAATCAAGAATTCATCGTCTTGCTCGTTACTACAAAATCAAATCAGTTTTACCACCAAACTGGAAATATGAATCCAGCACAGCATCAGCTCTCGTCGCTTAAGTGATTTTATAAAGTGAATTCAATACGAGTGTAGAAAAAATGTGAAACATTCGAAATAAAATGAAAATCTGAATTGCTTTACGAAGATCATAAATGAAAGAATTTCCAGTGTATGCATAAATTGTGAAAAGTTTAATTTCAGGAATGAAACTTAGAAGAATAAATCAATGAATGCATTTGCTTTGATTTTGAATTCTTTGAAATTGCAGGTTTCATGATGCATAGTCTGATATGTATAAATTTATCGAGTGGTATAAATCAAAGAATGTTAAATTCTTATAAAAGAAAAAAAACTTTCTCAAGGCGGTGAAGACTTTAACGATAAATTTCAATAGAAACTAAAGAAGCAAATCCACCCACATAAGTTCGGAAAGAATTAGCATAATGTCATGTATCATGAAAACTGAATTGCTGGTAAATTTTCTATGATTTATTTTTTCCAAAGATTTTTTTCTCTTCCATTGCACTGTCGAGAGGAAAGAAATTTAAATTGAAAATTTTCACTCAAGAAACTGTTTACATTATTTGCATTCTTTAAATTGTTTTTATTATCTAAGGATATAAAAATATTCTTAGGTTGCTAACTCATGTTTTGTAAAAGAAATTGCAATTTTCCAAAAATTATTCAAAATCATTTCATTGGCAAAATTTGTAAATATTTTTAAATTGGTGAAACTTTTTTAAAATGTTAAAGATTCATACAAAATTTTATTTATTCATAGGAAAAAGTTTGTATAAGTGCAGAATAAAATTAAATGCACATCAAATTTGTTACTTTCGCAACATTTAAAACTTTCAAAATGAAAACGAAGCACTTGTTATGCGACGTGACTTTTAAACAATTTTCCTTCAATTGCATCGCATTCAAACATTTTACGAGATAAGAGAGAAAAAAAGGATCATTAAATGCAGCAAATCTTTTAATGATGCTCGAGGGATGAGAGTGCGGAAATTATTCAGTCAGTTTGTAGAACGAGTTAATACTTGGATTTACAGCATAGACAATCTCGAGACTAGACGAGAATTCTTTTATTAAGGAAAAGGAATTTCATGGCGCATTGCAATGTTTCTTCATTTTCACTTCACGCATATTAAAATCCCATGCAACAAAGCAATTTCAATGAAGTTTAAAAGTTTTCTACGTACCCTTTGACCACCACCTTGAATCTGTTGCTGTTGTTGATTATTAGCATTGGCAGTGACGCCAATATTTCTATGAGGTGGAATTGGAGGTCGATATTCACCATTTGCCGTAATTCCATGGGGTGGAAGAGGCGGGGGAACAGAATCATCACTAAATTCAAATATTTATCAAATTACAACGTCAAGAATAATTGTTTTAATTTATTTTCATACCTGTGGTAACTTCTCCTATCGCGTTTCGTGTACGTTGCAGTATTTATAGCTCCAGTCGACTTTTTCGGCAGTTCAATTGCATTTGGATTGTCAAAACTGTTTATGGGCATGACCGAATCATTTGGATCAACGTAATTTAATGGCATGGGATTGCTTGTTATTCTCATGCGAGAGTCACGAGCATCAACGTCTTGTTGTGTCATTGAGCGATCCATCGTAGCTCGTCCTAACCATACCCAGTCATGTGCGTTTGTTGTTGACTCTCGAGGTCGTCTTGAATCTCTTAAAATTCCCAAACCTCCAGTCGAAGGTTCTTTTCGTATTCCCATCTCTTCACTTACCATATCAATTGTGACTGGTCGAAATTTTGACGCGTACACTACGCAAGAGATTACGAAGATTCCTATCGCAAGACAGAATGCGGTCAACAGCACGTACATTCCGATTTCAAGATTCGTCATATCTGTGTGAACTGGACTTTTGCCACTGCCTAAAGAAATTGGCAATAAGCCATTGTGCCCATGTTTACGTGCTTGTACTGCTGGTTGTTCATGGCCATGATGATCGTCTTTCAATGGAATTCCTTTTAAAATTCAACAAACATTAAAAATCAATCTGTTTTATTTCAGAAATTTTAGCAAGCGAAATCTCACCGATTAAAATATCAGACAAATCATTAACATCACGATCTCTGCCACTTTTTCTTTCACGTCCACTTATTCCATCATTTTGAACAGTATCAGGTCGATTGGATGATTCAGAATTACTGAAATCGACTTGAACTGCTGCCAATGCACTTGCCAAAGGTCCCGTTGTTGCTTTCACTCCTTGTTTTCCCATTTGAACATTTCGACGTAATCGACATTCTTCGGAAAGCAATAAAGTCACACGAAGCAAGTCTCCATTGCCTTCACCAACAGCAATAACTCTCGGATGATGTGAAGCCAACATGGGTGCGAAAGCGACGACATCAGTGTCCAAGCTTTCAACAAGCAAGAAGTAATCATCGACTGCGATGTCCCTGTGGGTTAAAAAGTTCAAAGCTTGTTTATTTTCAAGCCATAAATTTTTATTTTTATTGTCAATCTTACCTTAATGGCGTTCTCGCACCGTCAGAAAATTCAAGATCGATATCTAAAAGTCCTTCTTGATATTGTGCTGTCAAGCGTCTTGTTACAGACGTTTCAGCAACATATCCATTTTCAACGTAACTATCAGGAGTAATAGAAAGTTGAAGACCGGAAATGACTCGTACGATTAACCTTGTGATGCTGACTTTATCGCTTCCAACACGAATTTCCTTTGTACCGATAACGCGTCCATTAATTGGCGATAAAACTTGTACATCAGTTCGACCCATGACACGACCTTGCAAAGTGCGTCCACGAAGGGTTGCGATTTTAGGATCAGCAACTCTTAAAAGTGGTTGAACCAAATCTGTTACTCGAAGACCGGTACGACGTGAAATCAAGTAACTGACACGTCCAGAATCCTAATGAAAAATGAATCGTTCATTGATGTTTGTCTGAAATTATTCATATCAACTTACCTGGTCAATGGCAACAAATTTAGCGAAAACATCGACGGAACTCTGCTGATATCTTGCACGACATGTTGACCTGTCGTTACTGACACCGTTTCCAAAATCGTCGGTGTGATGATTCCAATTATAAGCGCGCTTTCTTCTGTTCATTTTGTTGTTTACACTGAGGGAAATTATATTTGTTATTAAATATTTATTTACGTGAGTTTAAAAACATTTAAAAATATTTACCTGTTGTGCTCTTCAGGAATCTTCCAACCTTTTATTTGTGAGAGTCGAAAATCAGCAACAGACACTTCAAGTGGAAATTCTGGCATCCACACTGTAAAGCGTGCTAGACCTTGGTAAGTTCCATATTTAACAAACACGCTTGCGTTTGACGAGCCACGAAGTTCAGATCCATCAACATACACTGAGCTACAAGACGAGGAAACCTGTCGAGAAAATTTATTTTATTTTGTGAATATTTTCTAAAAATCGTTTTCGGTAAGTCAAATGTAGGAACATGAAGGAATCAAATTTTTAAATGTCTGGTTGATGATTTTTAGCTTGAAGCTTTCTTTGATGAATTTTGCAAAAAAATAAAAATTGAACAAAATTTCAAAATGGATGAGCGAAGGAAATCCGAAAAATGCCAAATTCATAAAACGTTTCCTTAATAGACATTTTCTAAGTGATGTCTTGTGATGATTATCGCAACTTTTGTTCATCCTTGATGGACGAGCGAAAGAAGTTTTGTAATTAATCATGTAGTCAAGAGTTTCATTCAAACAAAACTTAGTAAAACTTGCAGAGATGAACGATATGAGAAGAAGATTAAAGAGAATTTGCATCTGCTGGCCATTCAATTCAATAATTAATTACATAAATAAAGTTGAAAAATTTTCTTAAAGATTTGAATCCAACGAATTAGATTGAAATAATTTAAATTTGCCTGAAGTGATTCAGCTAATGAGCAATTTAGAACATTGAAACAATTATTATGAAAAGAAACATCTTGTTGTATAAAATTTTCTAGAACAACAAGCACTCAATTCACAACAGGTCGTAAATATCTCGTTAAAGTATGTTCTCATTTCTTTTTTTATTCTTCAACAATACTCAATTAAAGTTTTGAAAGCTTTAGAATTTTCTTCGAGCCATAAATTTTCCTTCACTTAAGGAACTCGTATTTTACGACGTGAAGCTTTCATCGTTGCCGTCATCTTTCATTACTTCTTACAAAAGCATTATTTGAAGCGGATGAAAAAGTTAACTAATCATAAAGGAAATTTCATTTCCTTGGGATTTGCAGCAAACAATTTTGTATCAAAATCTTCAAGGTAATTTCTGTCATATTTGACAACAAACCTTAAATAAACATTGCTAAAGCTTTCATATTTTCATCATGAAACTTTCACATTCGAGTAAGAAGATTCTGATGATTCAATTTCGAAATTCTTCTCATCATTTGGCAAGAAAAAAAACGCCAAAACCATGCACGTGGAATTCTATTACATGTCGGTTCAAAACAAATATTTCTTCAATTCTGAAATTCTTCAATGAAAATGTAACGAAATGTAATTTTCTTTTTCATTCTCCAGAAATGAGTTACCTTTTGCTAGAAAACTTTCCTCTTATTTCTTTATGTCATAATTTTTTTCTTCGTTTTCTCCGGTAAGTTACGGAAAAATGGCAGAATTTTCATGTACACTTCAGACTTTCTTTTTTATTTCTTTCAAACTATTGTTGATTTATAGCAAATTATCCGATTCTCGCTGAGGGAAAACTTTTTCATATTTATTCGTTTTCTTTCGATGTTGTTCAAGGAATTTCATCGAGAAGATTTCTTAGAGGTCTGGAAATATTTTTTTCTCATTTTATAAGTACAAAAATATTTATATTGAACAATTTCTTAATAATGGAGAAACTGTTCACACATTTATAGCCTTCTTGGAAGTGAAGCGGTAGAGTTATTGGATTTTCTCATTTCACTGAAACTTCTGAGTTTTTATATGTATAAAAGGATTATGGAAGTAATCAGTAAGTTGATTTTCATTTATCGAAAGTTCGATAAACGAGAACATTTTAATTTGGTTTCTTCCTTGAACTCGTTTACAAGCTTTCGCATTAGCGACCATAATGTCGATCGAAGGAAAAACTTTTGCCAACTTATTTACACTAAGAAGAGGGTGAAAATCGATGAAGTCTCTTCAGCTTCGTATTTGTGGGGATTCAAAAGGAAAATTCAATTTCACTGTTCAGCGCGGTTTTTATTAACTTTTGATAGTTTTCTCATTTCTTCGAAATGAAATTGAAAAGACTCAAGAGTCTTTAAAGCTTTTTCTTCCTTTTATTCGTTATTTAAATTAAGCTTGCAATTCATATTTATTGAAAAACAGAAACCGGAATAAAATTCCATCAAAAGTAATAAAAATGATTAAATGAGATTTTTAATAAAATTTCCTTGAAAGCGTCAGCTGGGAAACTTTTCTATGAATTGTAAGCAGAAAATATTTTCCTCTCAGTTTGATTGAAAAGATTTATTTAAGCTTTATGCGCTTAAAAGGTTTTGTGAGCAATGTTTAATTGACTTAATTACCATTCTGTAAGAAAAACGTCAAATTTGTTTTAATTGTCAAAGGAAACTTAATGACCACAGAAACATTTCCAGATGCAAAACTATTTCAAAAATTTTCATTCAATTTCTTTTAATGATGTTTTTAATATGTCTGGCGATGGTCTTTTTATGATGTTTTCCCTTCATTTTTTTATTGTAAAACTTTGGAGATCTTTTAAAAATAAAAGCTGGCAAGCTTTCAACTTTGATGTTCAGAAATGGGAATTTTGAGTTGTCAACAAATCTGGAAAAAATGTTCGTAAAAATAAATTTTCTTAGAATGACTGCAAAACATATTTCATAACAATTTTGTTCAATTAATAGAATTAGAAAAGTCAATTAAGGTCCTTAAAGGATTTCAATTCTATTTTAATTATGTTAAAGTTCACCAAATCGTATCAAAGAATTAAATAACAATTTGCGGTTAATGCAAAACTTCTTCCTTCTCCCTACCTAGCCACAATAAACTTATGTAGATATCTGCATAAGAAGCTTATCAAGAGGAAGCTTAAACTAAACTTTTGAATTTATTCAATTCGATGAAATTCGAAAAGTTTAATGTCAATTTACAATGTTGAATGTTTATTTTTACTTTAAATATTTATTCTCTCATTGTTCATATTTTTCGCTTCTATTTGATTTCAAAACATTGCCATATGTAACTTCTTTGAAAGGAATGACGTACAATGAATCGTTTTCATGTGAATTATAAATGAATTACAATAATCTCAATTCAAGATTATGTGACATTCCCAGATATACCAGACACAAGATACAAAAGCACTTACATTAAGGACATTAGAATGGGATAAAAAATTCATCGACTATGACCACGATGATAAAGAGAATGCGAACAGAAAATGCTTCACTTACCTTTATAACACTTTCATCTTCAGCATGACAAGAACTCTGAAGTGTCACGTCGGCAACTTTTCCTGCTTGAGTGACAATGAATACTTTCATAACTTGTGATACTTGACGACCAGTGAGTACGGCTGTATTCATTAGTTCCCAATTCTGTAAGGAATGAAAGTGGAATAAACTTTTAAGTGTCATTAAAATAACGGAAAAACAAACCTTTGATATTGGTAGAACAGATTGAATATCATCTTTTTGTATCTCCAACTTTGCTACGAGCTTCTTACGATGTTCTTCATGCGGTTGAATCACTTCAGTTGAGACATCTTTAGTTTTCGGTCCGTCATGAACATAACTCACTGTCCAAACAATTCTTGCACCATCCCAATGTTCCTTAGTATCATTTGCAACTTCCAAAAGCCATGAAAATACTTCAACAATTCTAATAACGATTCAAAGATTTGATTTTAATTACAAACATTTTACGGAAAAATTGCAACTTATTTACTTGTTTCCACTGAGATCTTCTTGCTTCCTCGAAGTACTGTCGGGATCTTGATCTTTACGGAATGCCGTAACACGCGCTACAGTATGCTTGGGATTTTCTTTTTCAACTGAAACATTCCAATCGTCAGACGATGCTGATGCACCCAAAATTCTCATTCCACCTTTCACTCGAGCTCTGTAAACATGAAAAACCAGATTGAATGTCAGTGTTGCACCGCAATTAAAATTATTTTATCCAGCAATTATGCTGACCTTTTCCCAGAATGTGCAAACATAATGATGATGATTGTAAAACATCGTATTATTATTTCATAAAATCGAGTCTCAAAATACCAATTATTTAATTAAGCAACTGCAGTATTGTGTTTTTAATAGTTTGCAGTTACACAACAAAACTTGAATATTTTGTTCATCACCAATTTGTTTGTAATAATAGGTTTGCATTTTGAGACTTGTTTTAAAACTTTTTCATTTAATAATTAAACTTTTTTCACATTTTAAGTGCAATTTCTATGAAAAATCAATTAAAAATGAAAACTTTTTCGAATTCATTCGTCATCTTGAAACTTTTTTTAGTTATTAGATTTATAAAGTTTTTGATTGTTTGGTGGTAAGGATTGGTACACAATGTTGAGTTAAATTTATTTTTTCATAAAGAGAAGAAGGAAATCGCTTAGTGAAAAGAAAACTTTTTTAATTGAAACGATTTACTGAATGAACCATCTTCGTATTTTAAAGTTTTCAATACTCTAAGTACCCAAAGTATAATTAGAATGAGATTACATTCTGGACAAGTCTGTTGATAATAAATAGTTTAGCATTGGACTTTATTTATTTATCTACGTTGTTTTGTGAAACAAACATTGAAATGCTTGTCTAGGAGAGAAAATTTTAATCCAATATTGAGTTGATGCATCAATGCTATTTTCTCAAATGAAAACAAAGCATCAATTTCTCCATTTAATCTGATTACTTATTTTGTAATTTCATTTAGATTGTGTTTCATCAACATTGTATGAAGCCATAAGAGAGTAAATTTATGTTATCAAGTTATGCTGTAGATAGAAATGATATTAATTTAGTATCTTCATAACAAAAAATGTAAATTTTGATGCAAAAATTTATTCTATCTGCAATGTTCGAAGCTGAAAAACCAAAGTAAAACAAAAATATTTAACTTGCATTGCATAGTTTACAACAATATTATGTTTACATTTAAACTTGTTTGTATCTGCTCACTTATTGTGTTGTTATATCGTATTAATATTAAAAGAGCTTAAAGTCTGATTAAATAGCTGTTAAAGTCATTATTAACTTCACCTGCTAAATATGAAATAATTTAAAAAGAGAGATTACATTTTTAATGACTTGTTTGCATAGATCAACTTTTATAATGATATTAATCGCCACCAGAGAGTCCAAGCGTCAAAGCTTAAACTTTCTCATTACTCTTTAACTTTCTATATTTAAAGCTGCTTCATCATGCTAATAAAATTTTGTTAACCACATACCTTTGTTGAAATTGAATCAAATCATGAGATTTCTTCTCAAGAACTTTCCCAAGCTTAATTTCAACAAAAGTTTCAAATTTTATCGGAACTCAACATAACTACCATTTTAATTCTAACACAAGAAATTAATTTGAAATGCTTCATTGATATTGGAAAGTCATAATAACTTTCATAAAAAGCTTTTCTCTGGTTCAATAATTCGATTATTTTCACTCGATCGAATTCGATTATGAGTTTCTCGTTCCTGTTCTTCAATAAGCAGAATTTTCCATTATATACATTCGGAAAATCTATGGAGAAGGTAACAAATACTTGAGCAGTAAAACCACATCAACAGATGAATTCAATAAATTCAAGAATCGTTTTTACCCTGAGAAATCAATAAAACTTAAATATTTCTAGAGATTTATCATGAGAAATCATTCGGAAGATGAAATTAGTTTCCACAAATCCAAATGTCTTTGTCGAATAAGAACGACAAAATGTCTTTTCACAAAAATTATTTATAACAAGAAGAAGAAGAATTAAATTAGTTTATCAAATTATAATTAATATTTCATTCTCTCTTCTTTAAAAACAATTTAATTCCATTATAATTTCCAGAGGACATCAAGTGAAAATTTAAACTTTAATTATATTTCATGTGCAGCAAGAAAATATCAAATGGAACCCTGGGAAACTCAGCTATGGAAAAAGCATTTAAATAAATGTTGAATGAATCGTTTTGTTTTCTTTTCTGAAATTTCCTTGTTTCAGGTATTAGTTTAGACTTGAGATATCTTGAATAAATATCCAATTTATTCCATCATCTTAACCTTCTCCTCCCAGAAAATTATCTCTTAAATAGTCCTCAGGACAAGTTTTCATTTATTTCGCAGTTGATGAACAAAACCAAATAGAGGAAAATATCAATAAACGTTTTACCGAATCAATGTGAATGACGATAAATAAACATAAAATTAACGAGTAGGCTAGCGTGATAAAAACGAATGTGAAAATCAATCGTCATTCAATCCATTAAATTTGCTAGCATTGTGATTAACAAATCACCTCATTGTCATCTCATATATTAAAAGCTTTGTGACGGAGGAATTAATGAATGAAAATGGAATTTTCTCTCATTTCTTATTTTCATCGAGATTGTCATTCACATGGGACAAAAGTTATCGAGTTTTAATTTATTCTTCATGAACAGTGGCCTTCACTGTGCATATTTCCACATCGAAAGTTTAATTGAATTTCAAGCTCACCTTACAATGAACACTGCAACATTCTGTCCTGGCTGTGGTTGAAGAAAGACAGGAACGTGAATTTTCGAAAGTGGATACAATGGTTGTTGGGGAATTAACATCGTCAGTAAGTCATCTGCACGAAGCTCACGATATGTAGTCATAGCTTGCACCAAAGGGACCTAATGTTAATTTAAATTTTATTTCATTTCTTTTTATAATGATTTCTCTTATTTTTATAAATTTTACCTTTGCGAATGACGTTAAAGGTTGAATTTGAACCTTTGGCTCACACAGTTCGGGATTCTTAGCTGGTGGCTCAAAAACGCTGTACGAGATTTGTGCATATTTTTGTGGGGTTTTCTGAGGGATTGATGGCTGACCGTCTCTTTCTGGAGGTGGCATAGGTGGCCACCAACTTGATGGAATGACAACTTCAGCCACACAAACTCCATCTTCACCTTCTGGTATGCAACGACCTTTCAAAGGTGTCTTGTTAGTCATCGATACATGGAGAAGTACGCAAATCTTTTGTTTCAAATGTCCACCGGGATCAGCGCCAGCATGAAATAAAACTCGCAACACTGGAGAGTCGCGCGGTATAGTTGAACGCACAAGATGTGCAGAGATATCTAAATGAAGATTTGATTGTTGTTGAAGATCCAACAGTGCCTGAGTGGCATTTTGTGATGTCGTGACAGCTGGATGTGAACTGTCAGTTGTTGTCTCTGAGATATCTGGCACAATGTATCTCGCAGGTACAGTTTGCTTTGTTGAAAATGGGCCATAACTGGCGCGAATCGACACAGGTTGCGTTGTCTGAACGACAGTAAATTTATCTATCGACAACACTGTGTCTTGTGATGCTTTCACGCCATTCCTTGATGATGACTGACTTGATGTTACATCAGAGACGCTTTGACGAGGTGAATGCTTCAGAAAAAATCCACTGTCAGGCGACTCAAAGTGCACCTCAACCGCAAGACTTGGAACTGTTACTGTGAGACCTGCAAATGTTATGATGAAAGAAGAATAAATATAAACTGAACTTTATTAGATTTCGAAGATGTTAACTTTTCAATGATGGCGTCAGACAAATTATATTTGCTTTCAAGAGAAAAGAAATATTATGGAAGAATAAAACAATCTGAACTTTGAAATTACCACAACAAAAAGTCAGAGACAGACGTCAAGTTTTTTGTGAATCGTCCTTTGGAACTTTCTTTAATTGAACAATTTGAAAAATGAAGAAAAGAAGAAACGCAAATAATAAAAGATTTTCCCTTAGTGAACCATTCGTTGATGCTATTAGAGTGGAAATGCTGTTGAAAATAAAGACATTTCGTTAGCGAAGTTATCTTAATGAGATTAATAAAGAAAGTTTTCATATGTCAACTTTCAATACTGAAATTTCAATAATTTTGGTTTAAAATTTGAAGTTTCTTCCTAAATAGAAAATTCTTGAAAACATGTTTTGTTTGCTTTCATTTCGATAAATCATCTGTTAAATAATTCATGAAAATCAACAACGCCTGAAGAAATTTCAAATTTCTTTCTGTCAAAAATCGATACAATGAATAACTTTGAAATTTGATTATGTTTTACAATTTTCTTGAAATCGTTTAAGAAAGAATTCAACGCATCTGGCTGATGACATTTGGAAAGCTTTTTGTGCATTTCTTTTGATGATGAATTGGCAAACATAAATATAGAAATAATAAAAGAAAAACTCAAAAAGCATTTGAAGAAGTTTTCAATATATGAAATAAACTCTTAAATGGCACAATCCTTGAACTCAATTGCATCTTTATGTTGTAGCATAAATTTCTACATGTTGAATGCAACAAGAGCTTAATTTCCATTCAATTTCACTCATGAACTTCATTCCCTTGATATTTTCTCCACCGGAAAACTGTGGACAAAAAATGTATCAAACTTTGCATTCAAGCAGAACGAAAAAGCTATTCAAACTCTGTTGAAATTGAATCCGATGTTATATTGAGCTGATGTATAAGTTTGAAGTATTGAAACGTACGTTTCCAATAAATTTTCGATCAAAGTCATGAAATTGACACATTCAAGAATGAGGCTTGAAATGGAAAAGTTTTCATTACAAACTTTTGTCAAAGTGACAACGTTTGAGTTTAGTTCACGTCAAGGTTTTTAGAACAAATTAAACTTTTAATGAGCAAAATTTCAAAATTAAAAGCTTTTACATCGCTTTCTTCGTATGAGAGCTTGAAGCAGTTGAATAATTAATTTGATACTCTTCGACACATTTTACGAGGTCTTAATTGAAGATAATCAAGTGCAGACTAATAGTTTATGTTCCACAACATGCCTTTATGAAATGTGTTTAACTATATTTAAGTAATGGAAATTTTATTTGTCACGATGAACAGCTTTGAAACGTCAACATGTCGATCCCATTAAAATGAACGTGTACGAAAAATTTCTCCCAAATGGAAATGTAAAATGTGTCGAATAAAGGCTGAGAAATTGAAGCATCGAAGTTGATCTGAAATTCTTTGTTGCTTCATTCATGACGAAGAAGTTGTCTTTCGACATTTCGCTTCCCCTAATCAACTCAAATCACGTTGCTTTTACATTTCAATCTCTTTAGCTACGTTTACCAATGTGTACGTTTGTTTTTTTCTCGTTTTCTTCTTAGGGAGTAGAAAAAAGCTCAAATGGAAAAACTCTGTACATATAATTTACTTTTTAGGATGAATTCATGTGTCATGTTGATGTCATTCAAGAGATTTTATGAAAAAAAGTATAAATTTGTAAATATCATTGTGGGTTTGATTCAGAAAGGAATTAAATGAATCTTCTAAATATGAAAATTCTTTTCATACATTCCACGATATAAAAATTGTGACGCAACTCGTGAAGACGTCAACGATATAAATATTAAAAGAAAAACATCAGAAATAAATTGAATATAATCCTAAACTTGTGTATGTACACACCAAAAGGTGTCGAGATCAAATGTTAAGTTCATAGCAAAGTTTGAAAGGATGAAAATAGTTGAATTGGGTCATGCAGTCGATACGTGACACAATCATATTAAAATTGGCAATATGGAGAAACAAACTACATTTCCTTCCAGGAATGAAATTGTTAGTGCATTTGCTTTCCTCTCGGGGTAGTTTCGCTTCCATTTTTATATTATCAAAGGAAGTTTATGAAGCAGAAAATTTACTGCTGGATTGTAAATATATAGTCGATCGATAAATTGGCAGCTTCCAGATGATACCCTCGAAATCCTTGTCCCAAATCACGTATTTGCATCATATTTTTAGTGGCACTCTTATGCCGTTGATATGGAGATTTGTGTTTTAAACATGCCGATCCCCTACAAAATGATTTATACTTGTATATTTTTAAAGGTTTTTTCTAGTCACTCAAATTGATTGCGAGAATGTGTCAAGCTCGACGAAAGTTCAGTTACATGGTGTGATGAATATGCCGATTTTTTTCTTTCTTTTCCGTCTTCGAAAACATGGAGGTTTCTATTTATGAACATTCTTCTTTTTTTACTTGAATGTCAGGGCAATGTGTCAATGTCATTCAACGAGTTTGACGAATATGTTAATCGAAGCTCAATCAGAGTTCCCAAAATAAACTCAACACAGTGTTCACTTTATGATTCTTTGAGTCGTTCATGATCGATAACATTCGAGACAGAATTTTCTTCACTGAATGATTTTTTTTGAATAGAAGTTCAAGTTTTCATTTTAATCTTTCCTTTGGTGTTAAAACATATTATTTATCATTGAATTAGAAATCTGATAAAAAATTCAACAATAGAAATTACCAAAGTGACTGCTTTGAAAGCACAAATTTCCTCATGCCCGCAATCATAAAATAATCATAATAAAAAAGAGAGAACACAACAAGAATCTCATAAAATATGCAGGAAATGAAAACATTTTGAGCTTGCTATTCGTCTAACTGATGCAATTCAATTCCATTCACTTCACTGCAACTTTTTTTGTGTTGAAAGCAGGAATGAACATATGAAAACAATTAGTTGTAGATATTTCCCTTCATCAAATGTTTTGTTGTAAAAAGAAGTTAAAAATGTTTGCTATAAAATCGATTTTCATTTCTTTTGAAATCCACAAAAAGAAAGAAGGGAAGAAAAAGGGTGAAGCCGTCTAAAAAGGATTTATTATGCATAAGAAATGCCAACCACGACATAAAGAAGACGCCAAAAATGAAATTAAAAAGAGAACAGTCATCTCATAAATAATGAAAGATTCATGATGACATGACGGAATAAAAGCTTTCATTATGTTGCGCTGTGATGACAAAATTTTTTTGAAAATAGAATATTAACTCGTTCAACGCTTAGCGACTTTATTAAATTAAACGACCGAACAGTGAAAAGTCGAAAGATGAAGCCTGGAAAAGCTTTCGTCGACACTCGTCGTTTCCTTATCATTAACTTGTACGCCCGTTTAATGTTTCCAAAGCATGAAAGGAAAGGAAGAACATGAGATTAAATCAGTATGAGTAACGAGTAGTTTCTAAAGAAAATTAGAAGCTTCAAAATGAAATATGTGCACAAGAATGTATGACCAAGAGAGGACACGACACGAATGTCGAGCCAACAAATTATATTTACCAGCTTTTGTGAAAGTTGACACCAACAAAGAACGAAAAATGGGAATTTTATAAACTTTACCAAATCTTTACAACAAACATTTATCAAGACAAAGAAGGAGTTAAACGGAAGAAAGTTATTTTTTGGAAATTATATGCTAGCTGATCTATAAACATCCAACTGCAGCATCGTTTCTCTGCTCAAATAAGAAATTATAAAAGAAATTATTTTCTTAAATATTTCATTAAACTTTCTATATGCTTCCCTGTTCAGAATTCCTAATGCGGATAGAAGTTAGCAACGATGAAAATTTAAATTACCTTAATATCAGCGAACATAAATTGTGCACATCTCTTTTGTCGGTACAGGAAGAAAATCATAAAAAAGATTCAATAAAAAAAATGAGACTGTCTTCACTGAAACATTGCGAGCTTGTATGTGAACATTAAATAATGTTCAGATAAATTTATTTATAAAAAAGAAGACTTTTAGAACCTCCCATGAAGCATGGATAAATCGTTGATTACAACAACTGGAAAACTAGCTTCGTTCTGACAATCTTGACGAAAGTTTATCTTCATCTTTTCGTTCCTTTGTCGTAAAGAAAAAAACTTCTTTTGATGTTGTAAAATAAAAATGTAAAGTTTTATCGCTTTTAGAGAAAACATTTCTCTTTGTATTTAAGCTAAATTATTTTTTATTTGTTTAAGTCAAGTTAAACTTAGTTTCCTTAGCAGATATCTTTTTGATAAGAGTCACGGAAATTTCGTAATAATAAAGCCGATATGTTGAGCGTTTCATTGAAAGTTCTACTCTTTATCTATCGTCTTCTAAATGCAATTTCAAAGAAATGTCTGAATAGGAAAAATATAATGCGGGACGAATAAATGTATGCATAACTTTTCATTTTTCCCTTCACGATATTTAAACTTCCACATTGTTCTCTTATCGGTTCTTTTTTCTTCACCCTTAACTGAAAAGACTCTTTGGCATTTCCTCAGGACATTAATAAAAGAAACAATGAAGGAAATTCTTGAAAGAATTCTTCATCTCAGATGATAACAAAACATGATCGGAATTAAAATAAAAAGAAAAAGAAATCTCAGAGGGTAGCTTAAAATGAACTCTCATCGATAACATATTTTTATCATCTTAAAGCCTTACAGAGTGGCTCTGGTTATTGTCTTCAAATGTAGAACTTTCCATCTCACCCAATATTATGCAAACGATCAAATTCAGGTTCCATAAGTTTATCTACTAGGTACACATATGAGTGAATATTTAAATTTTTATGGATGTTGAATTCAACCAAGCTGTTCTGAAATGTTGCATAATTTTAAGCACGTGAAACCAAATACATGTGTAAAAGAACGGCAGAGTAAGCAAAACGATACACAAAATATAAATTGAAGGCTTCGGTTTCTCATCTGATATTTATGCACAATTATGAACGGAGAATTCAAACACATTTATTAACATTGTAAAGGATAACTTTAATAAAATAATTTCGTAACATTTTATGGTGGGCTTCCATTAGTTTTAATGAAAAACTTGTATGTAAATTATTCCACCACCAAATAACAGGCAGAAGGCTTGAAAATTCTCCTTTTTTTATGTCAATCAAAAAACTTTTCTAATTAAAGTTGTCAGAACTGCGTGACATTAAATCTTTCATTAGTTATGTTACTTTTTTTCTTCTTTCTCATCACCAATGAAGCATTGGTGGTTATCTGAACCATAAATTTTTTTCCGTTCTCACCGGAGATCAGAGCTAATTAATACTGACACTTTATCTTCACTTGTCCATGGAAATAACGAAAAACATTCCAAAGCAAATTTCAGAATTTCTTTTTTTTTCTTCAACATTGATTCAACGAAACAAGATAAACGTTGAGGTTTTCGCATGATTCAAGCCCATCAATGATAACAAATGAGGCTTATTTTCCAGCGTATAATTATCACTGCGAGGGTACTCTCGTATATTAATACTGAAGTAAGCTTATTCAACCGCAAACTAACGATCTCTCTCGACCACATTCAAAGTTTGCTGGTTTGGTATAGATAATTAAATCCAATAAAAATCTTCCTTCGACATTAGTCACAGAGAATGAGAACATTTGTCTTTCTTCGGAAAAAATTTTTCATGGCCTACATCTGGTCTATATTTTTGTGAAATTGCGGGTATGGTTACCCTCGAGAAAATATAGTTCAAGCGAAGGATACCAACACTTTACGGTTATATGCTAACGTAAAGCAACTCTGAAGATTTATATTTGTCAAGCCGCACAAAACACGAGAATGTGCCTTCAAGCACTCAACGAATCATAAAAATGTTTGTGCTTTAAAGCTTGTCACAACGGAGAGAAAAAAAGGAAAACAAATATAAACGTAAACAAAAGATGAAATGAAAGAATAACAAAGCTCGCCGCATGATACAAATGACTTGCTTTTAAGGAAAAAAATGTTGAAACATTTAAGAGAATGTTGGTGTGGTAAGCCATAGTCTTTCCATGAATATGGTTTTGTTATTTAAGCTCAGTTGAAATGCCTTATGAGTGATGATGGAAAAATGTAGATAAAAGAAATGTTTTCACTACTCAAGAAGCTTCTTTTTGTCTTGTCTACATTTCATCATAACATTCATGTCGGATTCTTCATGCAAGAAATTCTGAGCGACACTGTTGAGCTTTTGTTACATAAACTCATTAGATTTATGTTTTCTTCCAATTTTTTTTTATCAATCATTTGATAAATATCTCACGACAAACGTGCACTTTAGTAGATAAATTGAAATTGTAATCAAACAAAATAGAAAAGAAAATCTTGGAAATTTCAGACAAATAAAGGCAACTTGAAATGTTCACTTTAAATATTGATGCAAGGATATCCAAAAAGAAAATATTTCACAAACATCATTCAGTTTCTATCCCGTTGAGACATTCTTTAAAATCCTTTATGACTCTCCAAACATTTTCAGACAAAGGCATTCGTTTCATCGTCAGAACCATAATAATCAAATCTTAAGCACATTACCAATTACTATCACAACAAATGGTCTCATAATGAGGGTGAATGGAATTTTTCTTGTTGCCAAGGGTAGAGAAATTCCTTGGAGATATTTACGAGATGCTGGTATACTGCAGATTATTAATTTGCCATTTGCGATCAAATGAAGTTCTTTCCCTCTCCGTCAATATCAAATTTATTCTGAATTTTATGTTGACAACTTCTGTGCGTAACACAAGAGTGTAAAAAGATGAAAATTAATAGTCGTTTCACCGTTTCCTATTTCTTTTCCTTTTTCTCAGTGAAGCGAAGGCGAGGGGAGAAAAATGAATGACAATGTTTTCATATCCCTCTTCACGTCAAATGTCACTCAGAAAAGATTTTCTTCTTTTAAGACTAACAAATTGGTAGTACAAGGGCCGTTAGATTTTGTGCGCATTTACAAAAAGAAAAAAGGAATTCAAAAAATGAAGAATTGTAAATTTCAAGGTTCTTGCGAGAGTATCATCCAACGAAAAGACTTTTTGATTAGAAGAAAATCATAAAGTCCCTTTGGAAAGCTTTTCATTACTTCTTAAAAAGCACTTAAAAGTCTTAATAAGCCTAGTGAAGTGTCACATCAATATCGTCCATTAATCAACCGAAAATCGCCATTGAGTTTGTGTTCAATATCAGCACATTTTTACGGTGCTCATAAGAAAATTCTCTTCAAAAATTAAGAAGTTTTCTTAAAACCCACGCATAATGTCGGGCGCATTATAAAGAACAAAACACTAATGGATATTCCAAGCTGAAATAAGGACGAAGGAAACAAAAATTACTTTTTTCAATTAATCAAAATTAATACTTCAATGTTCAATGTTTAACACAAAATGTCCATTCAGCCATTAAATGTTTGGCTTTCGGGAGCGAAATTTTTTTTCTTCTTGGCGCTACTTGATTATTGCCTTTGGGGTGGGATTAATCATAATTAATTATTTCGACTGCCTTTTTTTATAACAAAAACATTTACCGACGTCAGAATTGTAATGTGACATTCGAGGCTTTTTTCATATTTACTTCTTCCATTCGATGTCTATCAAAAGTCCACATTGAGTGAAAGCTTTTGACAATTGGAAAGAAAGGTTCGATAAAGTAAATACATCTAGGATAGTTTCAAGTTTATTATCGATCAAATAAGCTAAGAATGTGAGTTTATGTGAAATTTTAGGTGGAAAATTTTGATTAAATAATGAACAAAAGTTTACTGATTAAATTAATGTGGTGTATAATTAAGAAAGCCTCAAGCATAACCACATAGAATGTGATCATATAAGGATTAACACATTGACATAGAAAGGGATGGAATATTCATTAATTGAATTAACATGCATTATAACAGAATGAAAATTAGCTTAAAACCCAAGCATAAATAAAGAATCAAGTCAAAGCCTAACAAAAAGCTTCCACCATTGAATTTTCCAACTCGCTTGTGTATCGTTCTTCATCATCGTGCCAGAATTCATTATGTTCATCATATTTATGGCGTCTCAGCAATTATTTGATGATGGAATATAAACTTTTTTGGACATGTATTCATGGGTTGGCTTGAATGTTATGTATGAAAATTTGATAGCTTTATGAACCCTCATGGGGCACTAAAACAACAATAGTTCTAACATGAACCAACGTGGTCGCTCCGACTTTAAATTTCCTTCTCTCATACGAATAATTTGAGTGTGAGATTAAGTGAGTGGAGAAAAGGGCGATAAATACTACGTTGCCCTTGTGTTCAATGGTATGAGGTGGAAAATTATCACAATTATTGTTGAATGCAATAAGCGAAGCCTACACAAATCCATATTTTTACTTTCACAGTGGAACTTCTTCATTTTAACATAACAAAGGAAATGAGAAACAAAATCTTGACATTTAAGCTTCTATTCTGTATGTAAAACTTATTCCTAACATTTACAGAAAATTCATAAAATTGGAATGGAATAAAAGAATATATTTGGTTGTTTGCTTTCATGTGGCTATGAATATTTTACAAGCTGAAAGCTGTGGTTACTTACATAGCACAAAAAAGAAAGAAAAAACACGAAAAATAAAAGCCGGGCTAAACACATAATGAGCTTATTGATTTTTCCCCATCATGATATAACAATAGACAAGAGCTGAGCAGAGAAAATTTTTGAGCAAACAAAGGATATTTCCACCTAACACATTGAAACATAAAACGAGAAAAAAAGCCCCAAAAGTGTTTCCAAGGCAACGATTAACTTTTTTTCCGCTTTCCTTCCCCCTATAAAATCAAATTAGTGGTGTAGAGACGGATTAGTGATTTTTCACTATGAAGTTTTCCCACCCGCTCTGCTCTGCCTCTAACAAATTTTATATGTCAGAAACACATTCCAATTTTCCTTCATTTGAATGGAAAATGATGATGTAGTACTTTGAGTTTCCTTTTTTTTCCGTATTCAGACCTTAATAACATCACGTAGTGAGAATAATTTATGTTTTTATTATGGACAAACATTTACAGTTTTCCATGCTTATGTAATCGCGAAGGCGGCAGGAAAAAAAGTAAAAACATAAGTAAAAAGTTTTCTTTAGCATATACGAAAATGATTTCCTCGAATGTAACTTCAGACAAGACAGGAAATATATTGGGACAGGAAATTCTTATAGATTCATAAAAATCCGCATAATGTAGACATTTCATGTATCATGTCGCATATTGAGGATATGAAAATCAGTTGATGCAAGTCATATACAATGTTTGAGAGTGAAGACAAACTCTTCTCCTTCCCTTAGGCTCCAGAAAGCTATCAAAGTTTCATGTTTCACAATATTCGCTGAACGCCTTAACTTGTACGAAAGTTTATTACAGTTTTAGACAAGAAAATCGATACAGAGATTCACGCAAATGATCGTAAACAAAAGTCAGCAATAATTATGATCCATTGCGTCACATAAGCATGCTTTGAAACGTACAGCACATGAAAAGTCACACAGTGGAGATTTGGGTCAAGTGGATGGTTTATTATATGTCCGTTTTATGTCCAAGAAATTCTATTTCTTCCTTCTTAGATTTTGTAGCTCGCATAATTTCTGTATGTGACCTGAATCGGTTTTCATGGCACCATGCAATAAACTTCGAAAACAAAGTCAGAGTTTAATGCGAATTTTAAAGAATCTTAAAGGTCAAAGAACCGCACTCGATTGTTTTTAACATAAGAATTGGCTAAGCATGAAATTTCAATATGAGTTCTCATTATTTTTTTGAACAGTAGCAGTAAAGTTCATTCACGCCGCTGCTCCGATTTTTTTTCTACATTCACCAGTAGAACATAAATAATCTTCATTCTTTTTGCATCCAGACACTCTGACGACGTCTGTCATTTCGATTCGTTTTCTTTCTTTTTCTTTAATATAAGCAAAGCACAAATAGCTCTGAAAGCGAGATGTTTATTTGCGATGTTTAGGAGAATGCGACTGATTTGAGTTTGTGCGTCAAATATAGTCAAATTTTATTTATTCCTTGGATCAGCGTTATTGAGCTCTAGCAGCGTGTGTCGGGATTTTCTTTTTTATTTTGAATAAATAAATTCGCAGCATTCAACCCTACAGCGATAAGAAAACACTGATGAAAACTAAATTTATTCAACTCCAAGATATTTCTATGCCATGTGAAATTTTGAATAATATTGTTGATTTGCAGAATGTTATGCTTGAAGATTACGACTGATTTTTGTCATCCCAACCTAATATGAGAACTTAAATCAACACATTTCATTCTTTTTCTATAATTTTATGAAATTTAATGCTTTTTTTCTTGTCACATTCACTTGTCTTGATGACTTACAGCATATTTATGACTTGTCATTATATAAATGTAACCCTGCCAATTAACTGAACGCAAAAAGTAAAAGTTGATAAAACAAGTGTTATTAATTGAAATACGAGCGTCAATAATTTTACCGTCAAGTACAATGCACAGCTGTTGTGAACGATTATTACACTTGTGTGATATTGGTTTGCGACAGGCTAAGAGAACATTAAATTTATGGCAACATTTCATTTGTCAGTTTTGAAGGGAAAGTTATCATGTTGCGCTACCAACCCTGTTAAACTTTTCCCCCATTTTTTCTACTTTTCTTTTCTTACCACATAAACTCATCATCGCACTCTTTATGTTGTCACAATCAAACACACAACGTCAACGTAAATAGAAACTCCTAACAAGCACAGTAGATATGAATGCATAGAAAGTGATTTGTGCATAATGTCAACATAACATCACAAACTTTTCGTATCCCCCCCTAACTCTTTTGCGCTTAGTGGTTTTGTAACTCTTACAATTTAATAACAGTTCATGCGAGTTCTTTGATATCATGATTAATCTCCATAGTGCATTATCATAAAAACTCATAAAGTTTTATGCTCGCTGTTATTACATAAAAATCATTTATCAAGCAAGGAAAAAAATGTGAGGGAAGATTTAAAAAGAAGTAAGTAGTAGCAAGAAAGGAGGGTGAGGACAATGTTCGCTATTTTTCTGGAGGTTTTATGTCAGCAAAACCCTTAGTCGTTGTATAAAATGACAACGAAATCTTTGTAATCTTGTGGCTTAAGTTGAGAGAGATTTAGGGAGAGAAATGGCACGATAATTCAATCCCTCTGGATACAAGTTAAAGGTTCAAAGTTCACAGTTCAAGAGAACTAATGGCCTTTCACATTAAAAGAGTTGGAAACTACTTTAAAAAATGAATAAAGTTTTGATGGAAAGTTTTTTTTCTTAAGTAAGCAACTTACTTTGTGTGTTAATGGATGCAAGAAACTATTCGAGTTTCCCTTTCATTTTTTTCTTTCAGAAATCCATTCAAACACTTCCTTTCAACCTTTAAATTCTTTTAAAATAAATATTCAAATGTGCTTGTTTGTAAGTGACTTAAACTCAAGTAGCAATTCGTATGTCATGAATCTTTATCTAATTTAACTTCATCTCCCCTCATGTCAGATTAAAAATGCCATTAAACTTTAAGGATAAAATTTTAAAACTGTCCTTTTGTGTCTTGTTATAAGTACGTTGAAGGGTGATAGCATTGAGAAGAAGATATTGAGGAGGGTAAAGAATATTAATTGTTGAAAGTTTCCAAATCGTTTCTATTTATAGTTGTGGGACTGATTTCTCCAAAGATTCATGGACAACGACGATTATCAATGTCATTATCATTTTAGAAATTTCAACCATTCATGATGAAGTCCAATTGTTATTTAGCCACAAGCTAAATACTGGAATGTTTAATGGCATCATCATGCTGCTGTTATTTGAGGGTACGTGAGGATTCGGCTTCATTTCCTGTCGACTTTATGTCATGATTTATCGCCTAGTCACTTTTGCACAGAAGTCAACACGAAAAAAGGAAATCAAATTGATACTGTTCTATGTAATTTCCGGAGATTTTGCAATGAAGTAGAAACTTGTAGTAGGTAATAATAAGGAGGAGAAGAAGGAATGAAATAGAACAAATGTATCGATCGATTGTCTTCAAAACATCGCGTAAACTAAAATGCTTTATATCGGTTCAAGAACATTTGACTCAGCACGATGGATGAAGGAGAGTCTCTAAAATTGACTCGTTTTCCAACTAACGACATGTAAAGATACGATGTCATGTCATGTCTTTTCATGCTTCATGTTGTGTAATGTTTGATGAAGTGTGCAACTATTTCGCTTAGCTCCTGCTCGCAACAATTTCAAAATTCACTGCTTGTTGTTATACGTCAGAAGTTTGCCTGTTGCCGGCATGATGTCGAGATCATTTAATTTAAACGCTAGATTTAACATTTTCGTCATAACGAGAAGAATGTTTATAATGTGCAAAACGTTGTCGAATGGAAAATTCTCGTGTTGAAAGAAAAATAATATTAAATTTTCTTGAAATTTTTCTAGTGAGGCGCGAACAATCTTTTCTCGTTTAGAATTTTTTCCGATAAAATTTCATTTTTTTGCTTACAAATTTGAGCCGAAAATCATATTGCAACCTTTCTCCCTTTTTTAATTCAATGTTTTCATAAGGAAATTCAATTTATGAAAATCACTTTTCCGGGAAAAACTCAAAGAACCGAGGAAAAAGAAACTTTGAAAAAACTTTTTCTTTTTGCGCCATTTGTTGTGAACAAGAGTGAAATTTGATTTCTTATGAGACGAAAATAACTTAATTTTAATGTTTTTTGGGACCGGAAAAATTGTGAAAATTGAGCAACTTTGAACTTTACGATAGCTTGGAAAGCCAAGGTTTTCTTTCCTAATGTCAATATTATATCGGCAGAAGTTGTGTTAATGGCCAAACGCAACATTAAAACGGATGCTTTGCAATATCTGAACTTTCAACAGTAGCACAACATCGAAGGAGCAGATATGAAAATTTAATTTTGAAGGGCCTTAGTAATCATCAAAGAAGGACCGTGAAAATTCAGAAAGAAACTTACAAAATTTGTCTGTCTTCAGAGCAACAGAAAACAACCATCATTGAAAGCGATGACGTTGAAAATCGATACGAGAAACTCACCTGAAAAGAGAAAAGAAAGCATTGAAAGCTGTTAAAAATATCACACAATAAAAGCGATGTTCAATCATTTAAAGTGAAACGAGATATTCAGATGATAAAACGAAAAAAGCATTTCGGTATCATCTCAGACGAAAAATTCAATTCTTTTTCGTGAATGGTTTCCCGAAAACAATAGAAATACGTTCTACAACATTACCATAAAATAACAACAACTCCAACAAATGAAATGTAATCCAAACATCACGATTTTAATGTGAAATATCCTCCGCACCCACTTCTATGTCGTATAAAAATCCGGAACGGATAAAACGAACGAGACAAAATCACTTTGATGCTTTGGAATGGAAATTAATTATTCGTGTTTTATGGGTTTTTCCTCTCTTCTGATATTCGATTTGATGTGAAGAGAAATGGTGGTGCCATCATGACACTCGCTAAAGTGGCATCTTCGCTGAAGAGGATGTGGTTTTAAATTTTGTAATGCGAATGAAGAAAATGGAAAATTGTGGCAACCAACATTATTTTGAATTGAGCAGATTGAAATTGGATTTTTCTTTTTGTTCTTCCGAGTAAATATCATGTGGGAAGTCACCGATGCTTACATAATCTTGTTAGAAAGTTTAATGCTTTTAACAGTGAGAACATTTGAAGCTTAAGAGATGGTTTAGTTCATAGAGAAACTCGCCATTATTTTACAAGCTTTTATGAGGGAAAAACAGAATACATTAGCGGAAAGCTTTAAATTCCCAACAAATTTTATGAGCTTTAAGTTCGCATCTATTATATGAAACGTTAACGAGAAAGAATCTCAAGACAAAACCTTTAGAACATCAAGAGAAAATTGCTTCTCATATAGTCTGATACCTTCCAAATTTTCTATTTATTACGCTCGGGACAAAACCAATTTTCGCTTTTCTTATTTTATCAGAATTTATGTCTCTCGTGGAATTCTTTTTCTTTTTCTCTCTCTTTCTTTCTTTCTATTTTCTTTACCAACATTTCACCATTTTTTTGAATGTTTCAAGCACGTGAACATTTTCCTTTCAGGTGAAAATTACCTTGGCAGGGTGTAGGAGTTGGCAGGAGGTACAGAGGCCCAATTCAATGTAGGCTCGGCAGGTGGTGGGATGTTTGGAAGGTTTACAACGATAATGGATGAGGAATGTAACTGAAATTTCCTTCCGGGAAATGTGAACGAGTAAATTTTATACCGTCGACTGTGCGTTTTCTTTTGAAGCACTAAAGACTTCAATCGAGAAGTTCATGAAATTTTCCCGCTCAACTCGCAAGGGAAATTTTTTCCGTTCTGTTATCTTCTCGAAAGGATACAATTATCAATTTTTCACGCGAGTTGAAACTTCGGAAAATGTAAATAATTTTCTTGTTAAAAATGGGGAGAATGAACGTGGAAATTTCCACATTATTATCTTACATTGCTCAAGCTTTCGCTTCTTAAAGTTTTCCGAGAACTTAAACCTTTTTTCATTTTCCTTTTTCACACTTTTTGATGTATATTTATTTTTCCTGCCTTCTCATCCACGAACCCTCTTTTATGAAAACCCTCAGACACGACTTGAAGACGAAGGAAACTCTTCTATATACAAAATGACGGGAACGGAAAATGGCAATTTATTGTTTCGCAAACGGCATTATCCCTTTTTTTCATTCCACTCAAATGGCCCGAATCAACAAAATTGCTCTGTCAGTTATTTATTTGTAGACTTGAGCCGCATTTCTTTCAACACCAGTTACTAAGAAACAGCTCGCAAGACGTACATATGTACGAAAATATTTGCTTTGACACTGGATTCTTCATTATACATAATTCTTTGTTTTTCTTGAGTGTTTTTTCTTATTTTTTTAGGGCCAAGTACATAAAACAATCTTGAAAGAATAATTTCTTAAAAGTTACTTAGAACTGATGCCGCTTGTGGCTGAAATTTATTGTTGAATTATATTCGTTTCCCCATCTCCTTTTACATACATTTAACCGCTTGAATTCTCTTAATGAACGCAATTTGTTTTAATTAGTGAAATGAAATTTGACTCAACTGCATGATGAAAAAAAAAATTCTGGAGTTATATTTATAAAACACCCACGCAATGTGCTCTGTCTGAAAATATTTTGGTTTTTAAATTTTATGATTTTTTTCTTGACATGTCATTAAATAAATTTAACATCAAACGTGAGGTTTTGTGAGAAATTTTCCCAATTTACATGAAATAAAAAAGCCATTATTTATGTTGAAAACCAACAGCATAGAACCATCAAAATTGATTAAAAATTTATATCACAAAAACATAAAAAATTAAATTAATTCTTTTTTTATTTAAATGACATCGGAAGAAATATAAAAACGTTTTACTTCCAAAATATTTTTTAAATATAAATTTCTCTTTCTCTTTTCGATTAAATTTGTTAATAAATTTGCTTTTGAAACAAAAATTTGTGAATGAGAAGTTTTATGAGATTAATAATAATAACATTTTGAAAAATTTATCGCTTCCAGCATCTGCTAGAGAGGCCACAACACTGAGCAGAGGATGCATTCTTCTATAACTCACAATATACTACGATTCCATGCGCAACAAATTAAATTATTAAAATTGTTCTGGCGTGGAAAGTTATTTTCCCACAATGATAAAAGAATTTGAAATGAAATTTTAATTAGTTTGAGACTAAAGGAAACTAAAAACTTTATTCTTTGTCTGTTTTAATGAAATTTGAGCCAACTCTTACAGCACAACGTGAATTTATGATGACAAACAGAATTTCATATCTGATTGTAAACATCTAGTCACAATATTTACACTTTTAAATGTTTTAATATCTTTTTCGAATCAAAACAATGCGTGAACGACCTTCGTTGTTTAAGTACTTTATCTCAGCGTGACACTCAATTCAAATGTATTTTTCCATTCAATCAATATTAAATATGCGAACAAATTGAGTCATTTTCAATGAATTGAATTGAATTGACTCGTTTCGCTCCCGAGAGATCTGCGAAGTTTAAACTTTGATATATGCAAAGTCATGATGAAAAATCCAATCAATTCTTGCTCGTATTATAATGAAAGGAATTTTTATGATTAATCATAATTATCATAAATCACAGTCTTGATTTCTGTTTTGTGAATAATATAAACGATTGCTTTAATGGATATAAAAGGAAAACCTTGTGAAAAATTAAGAAGTTCTCATCTTCCATTCTCAATCATAATTCGATGCTTTCAGAATGAAAATCAAAAAAGAAATGTTCAGCGATTTGGAAAAGTTCAAAGACTGAACATTCATAAATTAGAAGCTTCGAAACTTTCACGAAAAGTCTGCAATTTCAGTCAAGATAGAACGAAACTTTTACCTTACTTGCAATCGCAAAGCAAAAGCATTTGTTGGAACATAAATTTCTTCTTTTAAAACATGTCAGAATTCTCGCTTTTCACATTAAAATGAATTTTCACGATGAAGTTTAAACTTCTCAGACTTTTACGTAGATTTGAATGTAAGTCGGAAAACTAACATAAAAAGATTGTGAGAAATCAAAAAAAAAAACTTGCGACATCAACACAAATCTTCGACAAAATTGAATGATTCGTCTTTACATCAACCTGACATGAATGAAGTTTTCACCATGTTGCACTTATTTGAAAGTGTTTATGTTTGAATTTTCTATTAAATAAACACACTCAAGTAAGACGATTGAAATTGCACTTGAAGAGTTTATGTTTATGCGGTTTTACGAGTTTGTTTGTGGAAGGGGCACGAATAACAATAAAGCTGCGACAAGTTTCACAACAAATTGCGAAATCTTTCCTTGCCATTTTCTAGTCAACAAAACGATGAACATAAATTCTAAAACAAGATATTTCAATTAAGATTAAAATTTCAGATGATAAAAAGTAAAACTCTTTTAAATCCACAGCATTAAATAATTCTGGAACTCTATGAATAAGTTTTGACATATAAACTAAAATGTGTTTGGAATGTTAGTGAATCTGGAAAATATCAAATGAATTTATGTTTTAAATGTTAAGTGACGAATTAAATCATTCTTGAAGTGTGTAAAGCTTCTGCTTTCGTTTCGAAAGTCCTTCCAGTTATTTTTACTTTGATACTTTATAGATTATTTACTTTCAGTTTTCCAGAAGTTGTGTAATTAAATTAAGAGACTGTCTCTGTCTATGGCACATTCATATTAGTTTGAAAGGAATCTGTCGCTCGTTGAACGCGTCAGCAGCTTTTCGCTATTCGACTATTAGTATAAACTATGCATAAGACTAACGAGATGCTTTTTTATGATATTTGCAATAAAAGTCATCTTATAAATATTTATAAAGCTATAAATTCATGACAATTTAACACACAACACACAAAAATTAATTTGTCTTATGAATATGCATTGAAATCGCCTCAACGCGGTGATTTTAATTTTATTAGTTGTTGAGTTGCTCGCAGTGGCAACTTTTAAAAGACGATGAAAATCTTAGCCTCTGAGTTCATCGGAATGAATAGTTTTGTTTTTAAATTCATTCAGCGCGCTGTCTAAAATTAGTTCCCTAAAAATGAAATATTTTTAACTCGTTCCTCTATAAAGTAATGTAATGAACTAAGAGACATTTATGTCCCCCCATCGTGTTGACTACGTTTCGTTTATAATCACTTAAAATTCGTTTCTCGCACTCGAAAGGCATTTTCTTTTTGTCGTGTTAACAGAATGAGCTTCAAGTTGTTGTTGAAACATTACAGAGATGCAGCACAGCACTTGAAGTGGTTTTTGTCAAGTGCTGCGATGTTTAAGTAACATTTAAAACTTCTGCCCAATTCCATTTCCCCTAACGTCATGCAACAACAAATGTGTGAAAATATATTTAGGAATGAACATTTCTTTAACTTAGTAGAAGCAAAGTGTTCGTGATGTCGCAATCTGGAGCATAATGAAACTATTTTTCCAATAAACACAACATTAACAAGTGCATGATAATTAAATATTTGACAACTGTTTGAAATCACTTCGCTCTTCTTTGTCATCGTTGCATTCTCACTCAAGATGTTTGTGTTAACAAATTCACTCGCTTGTTGAACACAACCGTTGAGCGTCACCTTGAGAGGTCGGATCGTAAGTCAAAGCGAAGTTTTTTTCTTTATTTTCTTTACAAAATCAGCGTAAAGAGAAAACGTTTTCCGAATATTATGTTTCAAGATATTTTTAAAAGAAAAACGATCGCTTTATGTATCACTATACTTTGCAAACGATATGATCAATTTTAGACTTTGTTTGATCTGCAAAAAGATTTAAATCCACTTAAAGTTAATTTCATTTCTCGAAAAAGAAGGCATTAGCCGGTGTTGTTTGATAATGAATCTCTAGCAAATTATGACGATTGTTGCTTTAATGAATAATCATTTGTTAGCATTTTCTAATAGTTAAAAGTTCATTATGGTCAACTCTCTTTAATAACTGGGCGTATTTCAATGAATCTAAATTTATTTAAAGTTTTCGCTAAGCAACACAATTGTATAACATTGCAAAAACTTATGTTCGTTTGACTTCTGTGACTTGAGTGACATGTGAAAGCTTTTTATTGAAATTACATTAGCACAATGTGCTTGTTTGTGTATGCCTCTTAATGACTTCCTGCCACAACAACATCATTCACCAGCCTTCGTTTTTATTGCGCAGAAAAACCAGTTTTAAGCTTTTTCGTTGGTTCTTTCTTCAACATTTCTTGAACTCTCAAATTGCTTTTAAAAAACACACATCGAGACGATTAATCATAATTTAATGGCTCGCGATGAAATGTAAATTACCAAAAACACAAATAGATGATCGTTAAATATTTTTCTTACGACTATCCAAGAGCTTCATACAAAGAAAATTAATAATCTCTAATAGCCGAGCAATAAATTTTCTTCTCATTCGAAAGATGCAATCGATCGAGCCAACAGTTTTCTCCACTTTGTTGCGCACCCGATCAGCAATGAGAAATCAAAATCAATTTTTCAAAAGTCACTTGAGAAATTCAGAAACAAGTGAATGATAATTTTTTTATTTGTTATGCTTTATACTGCCGCGTATTATTAATAGAAACCAGATGCGACTGTCAGAAGGCATCAAAAGAAACAGTGAAAGAGTTGCTGATGAAAAGTTGAAGTCATAAATATTCCGTGTCAGTTAATCATCGTCACTGCCGGTGATCTTGATCCGAAAACAAGTTTCTTTTCTTTCTGGATACATAAATTGATTTTTTTTCTTTCTTTTTTACTCTGCCCAACAATTACAGAATGATGCGACATCCATTGATTACAACTCTTATAAAGGACACTCTTGTCATTTAGAATAATTGAAGTTGATAGCGTCAATGCCAATTGAGATTAATTTTTATCTTTTTTCAATCGTTTCATTTTATCGCTCATCAATTTTGTGATTTTCATTGGCAAACCTAGCGAAGATATTTTTATTGACAGTAATTAATCGAACGCTTTAGCTTTTTACGACTGTCTTAAACCAAAGTCATAATCTTGTTGATTGGATTACAAGTTCTTTTAATTTTGTCTTAGACAACATCAAATTGCCATAAATTCACAATCAAGGATTAAAAGATTTTCGAAAATGGTTTTTGCATTAGTGTTTTAAGGTTCTTTGGCTTCTGTTACTTTATACGCAATGAAATATTCATTCAGATCAACTCATTCAAATTTAAATGTTTTTTAATTAAAAAAGAAGTCTCGATAGCTTTTATTATCTTTTTTTTTATTCAAGTGATGTGCTTGTAAAACTCTCTCATTAAAAAACAAAATCACTTGAATACTACACTTTTGACAGTAAAACCTCTTAAGTGGAAATGAAATTCATTCACAAATATTTTAAACTATTTGTTTACATTTTATTTCGGTATCAATAGCAGTTAAACTTGAAGCCATTGCCTTGGTAATTTAAGTTACAATTAACCTTCACTTTAACAACAAAATATTTTGTAAAATCTGAATCACCACAATACAATGAGGGAATTAAAAAAATTTCATACCTTGCAGAAAAGTATTTTTGTGATTATTCGTTCTGTTTGTGGGTGGAAGAATAAAGAATAAGAAAGTACTAAAAAAGCAAAAATAAAATAACTTTTTAAGCTGCTTCGAAGCAAAAGTTGTTGCCAACAAATATTCAAATTTTGATGTTTTCTGAGAATAACTTTCCTGTTTCTTTTCCTTTTCCATCAAACTTGGAGGCAACATGAAGTGGAGTAGCTTTTTCAAGCGGAAACTTTTCGACAACCCCAGTCTTAGCAAAACAAAAACAAAATTTACTTGCTATTGGTGTTTGCCATCAACTTTTTCCCTAGCGAGGCTGAAGTTATAAATGTTGATTTCGGGCTTAATTTATGAGGATGATTTTTTTTTCTTCTTTCTCTTTTCTCAATTCACAATTCATGGATGATCATCACATGTTACTACAGCTTAAACTTGAGGGCCTGAGAGAGTGAAACTCATTGAAAATTAAAATCCCATCTAATAGTATTATTATTAAGACGGTACGGTACCATCATAAATATTATAACAAAGCAATACATAGGAAGCAATCATGCCTTTTCAGCACGTTTTCTGTTTAATGTTCTCCCACATACTTTAATAAAATAAACGACAGAATCTTCTTAGGATTCCTAAATAAAGTTTCCCTGAATTTAAACAAGGAGACTTTTGAGTGTGTGCTAAGTAAACATTTCATAACTTTCTGGAATCTTTAACACAAACCGAATCGTCTTTAGGCAACATCTTAAGAGAGAAATGACAAATTTTCCTCTCCAGCAAGCCTCAAATTGTTTGCTTCTTATCATCACCATTATCATCCCTTCTTGTTCTCATTATAATTATAAGCTCTAAATATCTCAAGTCTCAGTGATGAGAAATGTTGTAACATTTAAATTTTGCATAATTTCCAAAGTGATAGCTTAATTAAATATTTACATTTAATTATTCAACTATCTATATAAAGAAATTAATGTTACATAAAGCGAAGAAAAGCTCTGCAAATGTTAACATGTAAGTATTTATGTGCAAATTGAAATCGTGAATACAATTTATTTAAATGAAAGATTCAATTATGACGCAAATTGCTGGTAATTTTTCATTTCTTGAAGCTGATATCTTAAACCGTTGCCACCACGGCTTTTAGTTAAAAACTTGAATTTCTTCAAGAAGATATCAAAAATGAATCATGAAACAACAAATAAAATTATGTAGAAGAAGAGAAAAAGGTTTTACGGTCACTTAAGATAGTTTAATTAATAGTTGAGACAAGAACGATGAAGAAACAAAACCAAGAAAGTTTGAGATCCAATTTTAATTTATTTTGAGGGACTTTATCGGATAAGAGGTTGACGTTAACTTTAATTATAAGCTACAATAAATGATCAAAGTTGTCTTCAAAGAACTATTTCTGTTTTCAATGTTTTGAACCATTTTTTTAAACGTTTCTAAAGTGGCGTCAAACAAGATCCTTTCAATGTTCTCAACTTACGGAACAGACATGAAGAACGACCATTATTTCATGTCAGAAGAAATATAAAAAAAAAACACAAACAGTCATTAAAAATGTTTGAATCTTCTTAAAACAAAACGTCGAGACGGACAAGAAGAAGAATGAATAAAATACGGAGAAGGGAAGAAGACGAGTTTCTTGTTCATCCTAAATTATTATTCTTTCTCTTCCATTTCTTCTTGCTTTACATTGTAAAATCTAACACAAATAATCGTTAAAGTTACACAAGCTCAGCTGGACTTGAATGGTAAACAAGAAATTGGAGAATGCAACATGAAGAATTTGTTACAACTTTTTGGATGCACATAAAACCTTTTACGTCTACGTTCTATTCTTATTCTAAACAACATCGAGTTAATAATAAACTGACCATGACACAGCCAGAGCTAACAAAACCATAAAAGATTCGTTCAATATAATGAAGCAAAAACATTTTGTTTTATGAACTGATTTTGGAGTGTAAGATGCACACATGTTTCGTTTTACGTCGTCACATAATACAGTAAAATCGTTAAGCAGAAGAAATTGCTTCTCAACGTAATACAAACGTTAACATATATAAGCATACATCCTCATTAAACGATTTCAGTTTCGTTCATTGTTCTTAAGGGTAATCTTAAGTCAGGAGTTTCGTTGATCGCTGTAAGCAGCCGACAAGTATAAAGTGATTTAAGGAACGAATTAGATCGTATCAAAAAGAACTTTAACCTTTGTGGAAGCGTAAAATGATTTCTTCAGCATGCTTTTAAGTAAAGTGAATTACAATGCGAGATATTACAACATCGGTATTCCTATTTTGAACGCTTTTAAATTTGTTTATTTTTCCATGATGATCCTTGAACCTCCAAAAAAAAATAATAATAATATGTTGGCAGCTCTAGTGCAATTGAAATTTTACACTCCGTCGTGTGATGAAAAAAGGTCAAAAGGTTGAACGGGTGAAAGAGTAATCGAGTGAGAATGAAACCTTTTAAAGATGGACTTTTAACGATGTTGACAGCTGGCACAAATTTAAAGAAATTTCGATTGAAACGATAGAATGAAACGTCAATCAATGAAAGAGAAACCATATGGAAACCTCAGCCTATCTCGGTCTCTAATCATAAGAAATGATGTGTGTGTGCGTGAGTGTGTAAACGTAAAGTCATTCCAAAAGCATGTCGCAGAACATCATTTTTCTTTCATTTGATTTTGATGCTGACTTTATCTGTCCGAATGCCATTAAGTATTTCTTTTTATTGATTGAAGTTTATCTCGAGATTCTTACAAACGCTACATCAACATCGTTAAGTGCTTCTCAATCAAAAAAGAAATGAGAAATTTATTTGAAATAAAATAGAAAGATATCAATATCATCGTTGTTAAAGCGGGTTAATTGATTGTTAATGCGTGAAAGGATGATCTGGTGCGTGATGAAAAGAAGACGATAATTAAGTATTCAGCAGATATCATCGAAATCCAACATTTTTCCATATATTTCCATTTGCCCTCGAAATTTTCAGCCAGATGGTGCATCGCTTACATCGAATCATAGACAGCTTAATATTTACGTGCTTTTACAATTTTGAATTTGTTGCATATTGATCGAAAAAAAAGTAGAAATGAATTGCCGACAGAATATTTTAATAAGTGGAATGTTGTTTGTTCATTTTTCGGGACATTGATGAGAGTTTATTTAATAGAGAATAAATTAAAACCGCATAGTTGAACATTGAGTATTCATTCAATATGCGCCTTCTTCCTTCCAGGATATGCGCATGCTGAACCTTTTCTATCGAGTCACTGATATTCAAATTTTATTTCAACTGAATGTTCCACGAGTTGACAATTTCGTGTTCATGTCAAAAAACCATCAATGAAACAAAAGAAGAAACTCATCGAGGGTAGGAAATGGAACAAAATTGTGCAATTATAAAAATATCAGGGCGGTGACGTTATCAATTCCAATTACCACCACAATTCTTCCAAGCCTTGGTGTTGTTCACAGGATTTTCAATTAGTTTAGCTTATAATATTAAATCTCCTTATTACATCAAATTCTCGCCCTAAAATGAAAGCCAAGCTTTTACTTTATTACGAACGAATAAAACATTTCGTGTTGTATCGTGTAAATATTTGCTTAATCACATGAAGCGTTGAACAGAAGAAAAAAACTTGCATATCATCAATTGAAGCTAAACCAAACACCACAAATAAATAAACTTTTACCTTTAATGAAAACTGATTTTTTATAGTTTGATTGATTTTGCATATGATTTGAATGATTTCATGGGAATTGAGTGGAAATCAAGCGTTATTTAAATCTCAATAGGCCGTCAATGCTCTGACACTTCAGAAATTTGAGTTGAGAAAACACGACATGAAAATAAAAATAACTTCGAGTTTTAAAGATGATGAGACCGACATTTAAAGTCCACACAATTTTTTAAAACAAATTGAAATTTCCTCATTTTCAGTGATGCTACTGATTGTAAGTTAGTTTAGTCGCTCAATTGGAATTAGCAGATGTTTAGAACATAAAGTTTTATTTTTTCCTTCGCATTCTTCTCTCATATTTATATTTGTGTTAGTTCATGAGACTGAATGATATAAAAGCCGAGAACTATTCCCATTGCATCTTAGTTTCACTTCTAATCTGTCAAGAGTTTCGCATTTTTAAGTCAACATCCAAAAAAAAGTGAAAATGTTGAGACTTGAAAAGTATTGTTGGTGTCTTGGACTTGAAACTGCAGGACTTCTAATTGGATGGATGTCACTAATCAGTTGCATCTTTTACGTCATAATATTTGTAATCAGTGGCTTCAGTTTAACTTTCTACGGCAGTAAGTTTATGATATGACATCATTCGACGCATTCATTAACTTTAACGTTGCGTTATAAATTTACAGATGGAACTAATGAAGATATTTATGGTGGAATTGGTTTATGGTTAGCAGCAATAATTTCTGTTGGTCTTGCATACATCTGTTGGATTTTTATTCAAGGAATAAAGACTGTAAATTAATCTTTTGTTAAATTTTAAACTTTAATTAATTATATTATAATTTATTATAGAAAAACCCACCGAAAATGATGCCTTATAAAATATGTTTAATCGTTGAGATTGTGGTGACAATTTTCTTGCTTATGTGGTTGATTTTCATAGATCCTGAGTCAAGTATGTTTGATTGATTCAATTATAATTGAAATTGTTCTTTTCTTTATATTTTGTTACTTCAACAGATTCAACTTGGAAGAAATATTCACAAAATATATCTCACAACACTGTTCTTGGTATAACTGCATTCTTATTGATATTTGAAGCCTACCATTACATTTTTCTCGATTCATTGATGGAGAAGCTAAAAGATGACAAAACTTCTTCAAACGCAGTTTAAGCAAAATCATTTTTAAATGATACATTTTGGAACATTCAACCTAATCATTAATTCTATTTGAATGAATTATTTCATTCACACAACACTAAATTTACATTATAATGTTTGAATGTTTGATGTTCATACAATCAAAACATTTTTATAGAAAGAAATAAATTCACATTATTAACTTAGTTGAGT